GATAAGCCGAATTAGGCAATGTTTGCATTGTTTATAGTGCAGCTGCACTACAGCCAAAGTACCGCTGCACCTTGGTGCAGCCGTTGCACCAGTACCGTTGCACCGGTACCGCTGCACTTGTCAAGGCCTAATTCTCTTTGTAAGGATCTTTATCCGTTACATTTCTACCGGTTTTATTATATCATATTCCACATTATGACTAGTATAGCATTATTGGCACGGAAGTAACATCCACTAATAGACAAAGATAACAACCTTTTTTATAACCTAGTAGAAAGCTAGTTATTGAAAATTCTGTCGATGTTAATAAACGAGTAGTTTAATACTAGACGTATAACAGCTTCCGCGGATAAATACACGCTAATCCTTAGCTCGTTACTATATATAGCAAAGACACCCGTTACATAAGACTATTCAGTTAGGGGCTGGTAGTCGAGTGGTAGACTACACTAGCCGGCACTGAAGAGACGTCTGGAACGATTGGGGCCGCATACCCACGTCTATAACAAGGTGTCCTAGGTTCGAATCCTGTAGCACTTAAAAAATCTTAAGGATCTTTGCTGGTCTTAGACCTTAGCCGACCGACCACCCTAGAGGATCTGGGGGTGGCTACGATATATGCCCGGTGCTAGGGAAGAGATAGGGACTCTAAGGAGCAATAGTTCTCATTCTTGAGTCTCCCTTTCGCTGTCTCTATGTTAAGTGTGGTAATGACTCTAGGGGTTTGGACGTTCCCGCCCAAGGTTGCGTCCTCCTAGGTGGAGCAGCACGGAATTGTGATTCTAGTATTCCCCACATGCGAGGACAACACCGCCTGTATCTAGTCGACGACGGAAGGGACGCGGGTCTAGGTTGTCCAGGGTTGCTGCTAGCCAGTACCCAGCTACTTAGGCTGCCCAACCTGATAAAGTCTGCATAGCGCCAAATAGTCACTGGAATCTAGATCGGACTATAATTGACATCATCATCATCATCATCATCGTCATCGTCGTCGTCATCGTCATCATCGCCATCATCATCATCAAGATAGTTCAACCATTATCAACATGTCAATGTCATGACGTAATACTAGCACCCATCACTTTCGCGATTGGATTCCAGTCAGATAACGGGACATAAATAACAGCATGTTCTTGCTCCAAAATCTTTCACGAGCTGCAGACTATTTATTTCGGCAGTGAATATTTAGCTACAAGCCATGACCGTATATCTTCCGGCGCACGGACATGCGGCTGTCCTCCGAGACGATGCCAAGGATTTCTTCGAACTTTCCCATCCATATTTTGGTGCGCATATAAGATCGACAGCGAACAACGACCGCAAAGGCTGGGTACAATTTCCAATATCGCCTCAATTTGCTGGAAGAAAATTCAAACTCGACAAAGTCGAGGTCGAATATGCCACAGGATTCAAAACCATATTTGATGCCATCGAAGTCTCTATGGGAGGAGAATCTAAAATATTTGATAAATCTGATTTCGGCTATTCCCACGACGCATTAAATACGGTGGAGTTTGAAGTTCCTACGTCTCCGCAGATTGACAAAGGAATCAGCATTGCGTTGCTTTTCTATATTCCTGGTGGGGACAAAGTACATGGACGCTGGGCCACAATTGCTTCTGTCGGAGCCTACCTCTCCCCTATTTGAAATACGGTCAATTACCTAGCTTATCATTTACCCGTTTTACCTGTCGCTTTTTAAAAAGTTTCTCTATTCTCTATATGGAATCGACGCTTGAATCTACATCTCCTAGCATAAGACTTAAGTGGTTGCTCCCCATGGTGGTGCGTCCTCCACATGCAGTCCGCCAATGTTCTGATGAATAGGGCTTGTAGCCCGAACCTAGCTGGACACCACCGAAGATGTAAGCGTAGAGGTAAAGAACAAGAAGGCTACTGGCTGAGCAAAATGGCTCCCAGGGATTCTTCTTCGCGGCGAGCCTAGCTTCTGTGTAGAGATCTTCTGTCACAACATGGTTCAAATCTTGGCATAGAAATTGATGTTGAGGTTTAGTAATGGTTCTAATCAGAGTGTCACAGGGCTTGCTTTTGTCGCAACATCAACTACGATTCCTGCGGAGGGTCGTGCCAGATATTTGAGACACGAATTGACTATATCAAGTGGCTCCATGATCTTTGTGGCAATGCGCAGGACTGGCACGGTCTGCCAGATAATTGGCGTCAATTAGCCGTCCCTACCACCCTCGCATAATTCCATGGCGTTGGAAATTGAAGCCATCCAACGATTCAGACATTACCCATACCCCCTGTTTGGGAGACGCCAGGGCAACAGAAACATGTGCCTCGAATGAGTCTAAACTCACAAGCTTTGCTCTAGTCAATATAGCTACTTTCCTTGTAGTAGCTCTCAGCCAGAGAACAGGGATAGTGCGTCGAATCACACGCCGCTTTCCATGGAACTCGCAGCCGTGGCCATGGGTTGTCAAGGGAACATTAATCGCCGCTCTGCAACCCCTTGCAAACCTGTTCAATATTCTTTTTATTCAACAAACCCCTGGCTATGAGAACGTTCCCGTTATTCAATTAATGCTCCTCTGGAGCTCAATGCCTCGGCCTACTTGGCTGACGATTTTGTTGATTGGTGTACCAACCTTCGGAGATTTGAAGTTCTTCGCGGCCGGGTCTTCGCTATTTGCTGAAGTGATCCTCCAGTTTCTATCAGCATATTACCTGCTTATGACCGTTCATTATGGTCGAAAACACCATTTCTACTTCGGACTAGCGAGTATCAATTTCGACGGAGAGCGTTCGAGCCACAATCCGAACAGTTTTTAAAGTACGAAACGAGTATAAATGAAGAGATATAACACCTTATTCAGCTTATAAAGGAAGTAGATATCAATCACTTATATCAAAGGCATTCTGGTAGGGGCGACATAGCACTACACAAGACGTCACCAAAGAGTATTACAGTTACAATTGCGGAGAAAGATTCGATTTATCAGCTAGAATATAGTGTGGCAGCTGTTGAAGATACTCTCGAAGGGCCACAGAGCATATTAGTATCTCAACCAACACCGCGTTATACGGAGATGACCGCTCCAGTAATCAATTCCAATCTACGAGGAAATTTGAGACCATAAGACTGACTATCAATAAGGCTTCTTTGCCTCCACGGCCGAATTTTGATATGACCATATCCGAATGACACAATACCGGCCTACATACAACCCACTAACTATCGTTGGTATTGAGTTACCTTTTCATTTCTTCAATGCTTCCTACAAATATAGGAGCTCTGTGGAAGGTCATATATCGCCGCGAGCGTGACTGGGAAGAAAGCTTTGTCTTGCAGTATAGTCAGTTTCAAGGGTAGCTGATCAGTGCCCGCAAAGTTTTGACCAATTCTGACGGGCTACATGTTAGGACACCCCCCTGGGGGTGTCCTGATACGATATGGATACGAGTGCGGAATGTGAGATGTGCCTGATATGGGTATGATGATATTCAGACTAATCGCTGGTCCTCCTAAGAGGATCCAGCCCCTCCTTTCTTAGGGCATCCCCTCGTGCTTATGCAAGCAGGTAAGCGAGGTGATGTATCAACAGACAGCTCCGGTGGTGCATAGCCACCTCCTCCACATTCCCTATACCTCATTGTATGGTTGGCGTAACACTATAGAGGCTTAGTAGGCCACCAAAATTTCTTATCCCATTCCGGAAAAGAAGACGTTGATTCCTAGGAGCTCTAGTCGTATTTTTTAGGGCTCTATATATAAAGTATACACGATACGTAGAGAAATTGTATACGGACTAATATACTATATTAGGGTTCGGAACCTCTGAACGCGAGAAGGCCGCCTTTCTTCTACTTCCTTACGCTACGTCTTATATCTAGAGTCAACTACAGTTGTTACAAAATCTATTAACTATATAGAAGAAGCTGTCCCCCTCTATATATACGTGAGACCCTCAAATCTGGCCCTTAAAACCCTAGGAACCCCCAAATTATTACTGGGAGTAAGTCAATAGCTCCTAGGAATTGGAATCTTGACGTACGAAACATGTATACCACAAGTTATACGAAGAGCCTTTAGTTCCTTAAAGCGAATTACAACCTAACACGCACTTCGCAACCTTGCCGACTATACTACCTACAGCGGTAGCCGGCTATTCCACTAATATATATTCGTCGCGATAAAGCAGCAGTGATCTAGAATGAGATATCCCTTGTCGTATGCCACTGATCGGCTATGTAGCGGTGAATAATATATACGAATGCATTCTTCGACAAATTGACCGTTTCAAGAGAGAAGTTCTATGTCAGCAGCCACGCAGCTATATAGGTAAGGAGCCTATGGTGATGGTATATAAAGCTGGCGAGGGAATGGGAATACTACGGAGATTGCCCAACACCAACTCCCATCCGAAGTATTATCTGCCTTTGACCACCACTTCAATGTCCACCATGCTGCCTTGGAACCAGTTTCTTGTTTGTGAGATAGAAGTCAGCCCCAATGGCGGTCCTGGCTACCCTACTCTCCAGTGTGTCCCTACTGTCCAGTGTGTCCCTACTCTACCACTCCTGCTGGATCGTAAACCATCTACTCCTAAGCCCTCTATCAATTGTGATGGCCTGGAAATTTTACATCTCGGGAAGTACCACGTTTCCCCGTTGCCGTTCGATGTGGCTAGTTCTCCTATAGCCCCCTAAGCTCCCTGTCAGGTGCCGACTGCTGTCCATTCGTTTCACAAACTTCCAATTATGCCTATCAGATATCAGCTTGATATCTACAACCCCTAGGCAATGGGTTCTTGGAACAAGAGTAGGTGGAGATGGCAGAATATTTAGGAGGCAGACAGGGGCTCAATGCTTATCTTAAGTCAAGATACAAGAGTCAAGACTAGTGACTGGAATACGGCGGCGGACCAAGTGCAGGTAAAGCAGTGTCCCACTGAATAGATTTACTGTATTTGCTGACCGCCTTGGCGGCGGTATCACATCCACCCATGATGATATCAGTCTTGAGCTGGGCATCCCTAGGTGGGAGATAATGCCTGCAATGCCTCCGCCCTCTTGTACCTCTGGGTATAACCCTCCTGATCCATGGCATACTTATCACGAGCACCGTGCGCCAGCTCAACTAGCGAGCTGACCGCATCGCAAATGCCGCGCGCAGTTGCGGGCGAGAACTTGACAAAGCGACAGTCCCGCTGGGTTGCAAACGCCTCAGCTTCCGCGTGCGACACTGGGGCTTCACCTTCACCCATGGCGGCGATCATTGTCGCAAGAAAGGGGAGGACCCCGTCTTCGCAGCGGCTGCGCATCCTCTCGCAGGCGGCGACCATTTCGTCCCACGATTCCCTCGACGAAGCGTCGTACGCGAAGACGAGGCAGACATGCTGCATGAGGCAGAGGTAAGCTAGGCCAAGCCCCAGGACGTTGGGCGGGATGAAGCGGACATTGTAGACATGACTGTCGCAAAGGTAATCTGTTTCGAAGTCGCCTGTAGGGTCAAACTCGCCGTAGGCCTTCTCTCTCTGGAGTAGCTAATGAATCGTACGGGTGAGCTCGGCTGGGGGTACTCGGAGCATATTGCGCTGGGTACGTACACTGTAAAGATACGAGGAGTCGGGGGCGCCTTTGGCATTCGCGACGATAATGGATATGGACTGTGGATCGGAACCGGGTTTGCGGGGTAGCTTGGTGGGTGACCGCCTCACGTTGCTGATATGGATGGCGCGAGGGGATGGGTCAACAGTTTTTCTCTCTACTGTCGTGGCCGGCGCTGATGGCGCGGGCTCGCTGCCACTAACACGGAGCTTGCGGAACATGATCAGACAGTATGGGTGACGGGTGGGCGAGGTGAGTGGATACGGGCAATGCTAGTAATGTACCTGGAACCGAGGCACTGCCGGCCGTGACTTGTGCGGAAATAGCCTTGACCGTGTTTTTGAAGAGAAAAAAAATTGGTCAGAATTGACTCACCGAGATGCTCCGTGATAGTCAATAAGGGGTAAAGGAGTCGGCCTAAAATCCGGTGTATATGTAGATGGACGTGTGCCAGACGTCGTATAACCCACGTAATTCCACATTCCATCTTTTGCATGAACGTGTACCATCAGTGAACGTGGCTTCCACTGATCCAATATCTGTCTTCTAACACCAAATCCTTACATTATATCACAAAGGACCATAGTTATAGTGTGGAAATTTCCTCCATATACAGTATAATATCTAGACCCATACCTAAACTCCAACTAATCGAATCATTGGTAGCAGGTCAACTGTAGTAGGCTAATAGCTTAACTAACTCATTATGAGTGAGGTCTTATGGCCTTGATTGCCTGAGGTATTATAATCCTCTATAAAACTTGATGTACTTACCGCGTAGGTTCTATAGATACCTGTAGATCGTCTATTCTACAACTTAGAACTTAGAGATATAGGTGTAGATAATACATTACCAGTGATACCTGATCAAATTTATTAATCGTGGCACGGGACCACCAACACAACCAGGTGTTGGTAGTCCCCAGAAGATGTCAAATTCCTACAAGATGTCAGATTTCCGACTAAGTACCTTTATATGGAATTGCCATACAAAAGATACATTAACATAAATAACTCAACTCTCAAACTACCTAAATAAAAAGTAAAAAGGCCAACTTATAATTTAGTAGATCTAATTGAAGAATTAACTCTAAATAGAAGCGTAAAGAGCTAAAGAGCACTTTCCAAAAAAGCAACGTATGAATATTGCGTAAAAAAATTAGAACTATTCTCTCGCTTTACGCACTTGAGATTTCCTACTATAGTTAATAGTATATAATTAGGACATGATCTACTATATTTTGTGATATCCCCTAACCCTTTTATAGGTTGTGAAAATCGATGTTATACTTATATTCGTTATGTATCTTTTGTATGGCAATTCCATATAAAAGGTACTTAATTGAAAATCTGACATCTTGTGGGAATTTGACATCTTCTGGGGTGTTGGTGGTCCCGTGCCACGATTAACTGACTAGTCAACTAACGTAACTATGTCTCAACGTGTACGAATTAATCAGTCTAGTGGCACGTGACCCGAGTACTGGGTGGGGAAGGTATTCAAGGGGCTGTCATGATATAAGTAAAAGTTATGACTCGAAAGTAAATGAGACTTGAGTCTATTTGGCATGCCCTATGATATCATGTTATGTCTGAGGTTACAAAAGAAGAAAGAAATGTGGCAATGGATACTTCGGCGGGCTTTTGTGCTTCAAATTCCGAATGCGAACACATGGTGTAACAACAAGATCAATAGTCAAAGTCGGGGTTCCTTTCTAAGAAACAGAAAGCGATATCTAGATACTCGCATACATTTTATGTCTAAATTGAAATCCATGCGTGTGAGCCTTGCTTCAAATTCCAAGTGCCGACACGTCGTGTAACTACAATATCAATCAATGGTCAAAGTCGGGATTCCTTTCTAAGAAAGCCATATTTAGATAGCTGCACATATTATACATCTAAATTGAAGTCATGTTTGAGGAATCTTTCTTCGAAGTGATTTTAGACTGCTGCATGCAAAATCCCACCTCCTTGACAAAATTATATTTGCTATCCAGGCCGGAGTAGAGAATTCCAAAGGCCCTAAAAGCTGCGGTCTTCCAGTTATATTCGATCTGAGACGCAACCTACTGAAATCTATGGTACGGTATATGAGAAAATTTCTCGTAATTTGTCTTCCCCGGATTGCAAGCTATCAAATATGGATCTCAAAAACGAAGGCCTTGCGAATTTCCGCGAATTTGGTGGTTATCCTACCTCTACAGGTTCCAATGCAACGACTCGAGGTGGATTTCTTTATCGTTCTAGTCATCTGGCAAATATCACGGCCTCTGGTTGGAAATTGATAAAGGATTTGAAAATTTCAATCATCATCTGCTTGGCGGCTGCAGACGAGACAGCCAGCCTTTACGGCCAACAAGAACATACACCAGATGAGATTGAGAACATCAAAATCATCGAAGTACCGTTTCACATGACGAGATTTTCAGTAAAAGAAGTGCTAAGGAAGTATATTGAGTATGAATCAAGAGGCCCTATTGTTAGTTAAGACGCCCTAACCAGGCCATGTTCGTTGATTTCCTATTACTAATTTTATATAGGCTGTCGCTAAGGGCTACCTGGACCTGCTTCGGGAGAACCCTAGCGTAATTAAAAAGATTTTTCTTCAGATTTATGCTCATCCGGATGCTGTCTTTCTTATTCATTGTTCAATGGGGAAGGATCGGACTGGTGTTGTGTTTGCACTTCTTTTCGCTGTCGCTGGTGTTCCCTATGACCTTATCGCAATGGAATATGCCCTCAGCGAAAAAGCTCTCGAACCATGGCTCCCTGATATATCCCAGCTAGTTCAACAAACGATGCCCCCCGATGCTGGCGATTTGGAAATCAACGCCATAGCACGACAAATGATCAATTCAAGGTGAAGTGAGTCGATAATAATAAATTATCTCTTTATTAACCTGGCTTTTAGCGAGGAGGCCATGCTCCATACACTTCAAATGATTGAGAATGAATTTGGTGGCGTTGCTGAATATCTAAAACAGCAATGCGGCCTGTCGTCGGAAAATATCGAGCACGTTCGGGTTATCTTAACGCAAAAAAGTTAGATTGCTGGTTCTATACAGGTATTATAAGAAAAACGCGCAAATAGTACGACAAGTACAAGGTCACGGTAGCCCACAGACGTGGCTTGTGGTGTATACGGAGTGGTATGCCACTGGAAGGGGGAACATTATGGTCCGATGTACCCAGGTACCACCAATATACCACAGGAGAGAAGGACTGGATATACAAGGACACTCGTTTTCGCACGTGCATTTAGCTCTTCGCGATCAAAGTTACTCGAGATTAGATTCACCTTCAAACTAGCTTTCACCAGAGGCCCTTCCGTTTTCTTCTCGGATGATCTCCCTCGCGCATAGCATAGTATATACATGGACCAGTCGGTTAGATAATGTACCGTTGGCGCTACGTGTTATGCAGCGACTCTGCCACGTGACGATGCGTATCAATTCCACGTCTGGGTCGCGCTCAGGAAGACTTAGGAGTCCACCCGGGAACTAGGGGTGCAGAAGGATGGAAGCAGCTAGATTTCTTGATCATGGTTAGTTAGATGCTTCAGACCCTTCACGAACACTCATTTCGGGTACATACAATTAACCATCGATATAGCATATTTTCCCCAGATTATGTCAGAAAATAGTAGGAGAAATGATATGATCTGTATGTGTAGATCCTTGGGACATTGGTATAGCAATTCTGCATACTATTCCTTGCCAGCCTGTCTACAAAATTACCAGTGTCTTCTGACAATCCACCAGAGAGTTTGATATTACTATTCTGATTGCCATATATCTTCGGGACATTTATTTCTGCCAGTTGAGTTAAGTGCAGGCGGTTAAAGAGGTTCACCACATATTAGGATGTTCAAGAATCGTGTTTGAAGTCAACTATTGACTTGACCGTTTTTGTGACTAGCAAATACCCTAGCAGATCCTTGTATTCACCCCGTGCCATGACACCTGTCTTCACCCAACCTTCCATCTGGATTGAGACAGTGGATTCAGATTGGCGTTGATTCCCAGCGTGATGCAAAGGTTTTCTTCTTTCGCAGCTTCGTCTTCTAGCAATTTGGGACTTGGGCAGTGTAATTGCTAGGCCGATACTTCGAATTTCGATGAACTCGATGCGGCAATTCCGCGGCCATTGGAATTTCAATAGCGCGCGGAAAGAACAGAACCTTCTATAGAGTAAGTAGATAGATTTCCACGAAAAGGTCAAATCTGATTCAGGTCTCAGACGCCTTAAGCGATTTAATTGCAAAGGTCTGCCAATCCAAGGAAGTCTTATCTTTGTGCCATTACTCCCTCAGCGATTGATGAAATCGTTTCACCGTGTAAAGCGTGGGGCTTCGGCATGGTTGATTCTAGTGGAACTAAGGGGACGGCCGTATAACTATCTTGCTCTATAATATCTCAATTTCTATAATATCAACTTCTATAGCGTCATTTCCACACTCTTAATTTCTATCAATTTCTATAGTCAATAAAATACGCATGTACTAATTTTATGAAATGTTCTGCTGGCAAAATACGATATGGCGCACTGGCGGCTATGTACTGCCGTACATCATCCGTTGCTAGGCCAACAAACAACATTGAAAACGATAACCATTTGGAATCGATAACGACTCTGTTCCTTTGATGTTTGCAAACCCCCACCATCGACAAAGCACTTTGGATTCAAGGCATCATCTAAGGGTAAGTTTCTTCTATATTGTTGCACTCGGTTCATTCTTTTTGGACTCGCAATTTCAATTCCCACAGGACCGTAAAAGTCTACGAACTCGTCGAGCCGGCGCACAAAGAACCCAAAAGGCTAACGGCAAATTTCAGTGCCCTGAGAGTCGTCTTCGATTGACGTCCTGAGATCCAATAATTCCAGACTTGACGATCCGGTGAATCCAGCAAACCGACATATTGCCCATCTGACAAGATATCCTCCAAACCACACCGCTCGTTAAAACAAGATGGCTAGAGAAAGCACCGCACCAATGGAGCCCCTCACTCCAGGGCGAAAGCCAAACACCCAGCCTCACCCCGCACATGTCCAAGAACCCGAATTCGGAAAACCATCGCCGATCGGCCCCCCACAACACAGATCAAACCACCTTTTCAACATTCCAAAGCCGAATCAATCTCGGGCCGAACATCATCGACCCGCCCCTCGACCGCAGCCGCAACAGCAGCCACAATCGCGCCCTTCAGGTCAGTCAAGTGCTACGCCTCACGCTTATCGCCCACCGGGCACTTCAGGTGCCCCAGTCGCTACGCCGTCGGCGAAGCGAAGCGAGCCATGGGACCCATTCAAGCCGGTGGCACCATCAGCCTACAACAACCCTCGCGGAGGATTTCCACACGGTGCAGTGAGTATCAAGCGACCTGAAAATGTTACTTGGACAACCCCTCGGGCCCCTAGGCCTATCTACCAATCCCAGCCTGTTCCACCAAAGATGGGAGGCGCGTCGAAGAACCTACAGAACTTTATGGACCTCACACGCGACGAGACTGATCCTGTTCCACGGCCGACGGTCCGTGCACCACCGAGCTTCGGAGCCATGGATATGAATGGCTATGTCGACACGGCTATGGCAAATGAGAACATCAAAGCTTTGCTTGAAGGTGCATTCGAGGACGAGGAGGACAAAGCTGAGCCGAAACCTAAAGGCAAGAAGAAGAAGGGTGGGAAGAAGCAGTCCAAGAAGAAGTCACAGAAGAAGCAGAAGGATGAAGTCATCGTCGACAGGAAGAAGGAACAAGCGATTGACGACCTTGATGATCTTGCTGTTCAACTTCAAGGGGTCACAGTCAACGACCCGAAGGATATTGGCGCTAAGTCTGAACAAGATTCATCTGCCAAGGTTGCCCAGTCAGACGAAGAAGACGACCAGGCAGCAGAGGAGGAGGAAGAAGAAGAGGAGGATGAGGAGGAGGAGTCAGACGAGGAAGATGATGGGGTCATCGAAGGCCTAAAAGTTACCCTCCTTCCCCATCAAATTGAAGGTGTGAGATGGATGTCTGACAAGGAGACTGGCCGAAAGACGAGCAAAGGAATTTTCCCGAAAGGCGGAATCCTTGCAGATGATATGGGTTTGGGCAAGACGGTGCAGACAATTGCTTTGCTGCTCAAAAACCGTAAGTCCGACCATGATCATAGCGATAACACCGAATCAGAGGGAAAGACAACGAAGCTGCCCCCAAACTGCGCTGCCTCCACTTTGGTAATTGCGCCGCTTGCACTCATCAAGCAATGGGAGGCAGAAATCAAGGACAAAGTTAAGCCGTCCCACAAGCTGCGTGTCTGCCTATATCACGGTACAACTCGCGCAAAGACTTCTACGACGCTGGACAAATACGATGTTGTGATCACGACGTATGGCACTCTTACCTCTGAATTCAACTCGTCAGCATCAGACAAAGCCAAAAAGGCGGGTATCTTCGCTGTTCATTGGTACCGTATCATTCTCGATGAAGCGCACACAATCAAGAACCGTAACGCCAAAGCCACACAGTCAGCGTATGCATTGGACGCCCAATATCGCTGGTGCTTGACAGGAACGCCATTGCAAAATAACCTAGATGAGCTGCAAAGTCTGATCAAATTCCTTCGGGTGAAGCCCTATGACGAGTTGGCTGCATGGAGAGATCAAATCAGCCGCCCTTTGAACAACGGCCGTGGAGGTCTCGCTATTCAGCGACTACAGGTCTATCTGAAGGCCTTCATGAAACGGCGGACGAAGGATGTCCTCAGACTGAACGACAACGCAAAGCCTGGTGAAGAAGGCCCAGATGGCAAGCCAAAGAAGTCCTCGAATGGATTCCACATCACCAAGCGTGAGGTCATTAAGGTGGATGCTGAATTCATGCCTGGCGAGTTGAACTTCTACAAGCGTCTCGAACAGCGGACGGATAATAGCCTTGAGAAAATGATGGGTGGTGCTAAGGTCGATTACGCTGGAGCTTTGGTCCTGCTCTTGCGTCTTCGTCAGTCTTGTAACCACCCAGACTTGGTCAAGGGTGATTTGGCCAAAGACAAGGATATTCTTTTGCAGAATGGCAGTACGAGCAGCCAGTCAACGCAGCCAAAGCCTGATGACCTTGACAGCATCGCCGATCTTTTCGGGGCAATGAGCGTTGTCGCGAGGAAATGCGATGTTTGCCGAACGGACCTGAGCCCAAATGAAATCAAGGCTGGCGGTAGTCGATGTGGTGAATGTGAAGCCGACCTGAATACCAACGTCATGGGCACAGATAAAAAGAAGAAAAAGAAGTCCAAGAAGAGCCACAAGAAGCTTGATGTCCTGGCCCCCCCGTCAGCCCACAAATCCGATGCACAAATCGCTCGTTCTCGCAAGAATCGTCGAGTTATTCTTGACAGTGACGATGAAGATGAAGGAGGAGATTGGGTTGTACCTGTAGACCAGCGCAAGATCCCTAGCCTCGGGAAAGCGGGTGGTTCCGACGACGAAAACGCGGAAGGAGGTGGTGAATGGCTCATTTCGGACGATGAAACCGATGATGAGATCGAATCGCCCTCCAGAAGGAAGAGCAAACCCATCATCTTGAGCGATTCTGAGGATGAAAGCGACTCCGAAGCGGACGACATCTACAACAATGAAGGAGAGAATGGAGAGCTTCCATCCACCAAGATCCGCCATCTTATGCGGATTCTCAATCGCGAGGCACCGGACTTCAAGTTCATCGTTTTCTCCGTCTTTACATCTATGCTTGATAAGATCGAGCCCTTCTTGAAGAGTGCTAATATTGGCTTCGCCCGCTACGATGGTGGAATGGCAAATAACCACCGCGAGGCCAGTCTCGAAAAGCTGCGAAACAACAGTGGCACTCGTGTATTGCTCTGCAGTTTGCGTGCTGGTGCGTTAGGCCTCAATCTGACAGCTGCTAGTCGCGTCGTCATCTTGGAGCCCTTCTGGAATCCCGTAAGTCGCAATTCTCTATAATCTATTGCGCATTGTGCTAACCTGAACCTAGTTTGTCGAGGAGCAAGCCATCGATCGTGTCCATCGCCTGAATCAAACCATTGACGTGAAAATCTACAAGATGGTCATCAAGGGTACCGTGGAGGAACGCATTGTTGCTCTGCAGGACCGCAAGCGCGAACTGGCTAATGCCACTATCGAGGGCAAGACCGGCGCTGGCAAGCTCACTATGCGTGACATGATGGCGCTCTTCGGTCGTGATGCAGAATCACGATTCACGGACAACCAGAACACTCTGGACTTCAACCAGCCTACTCGACTGCTGAACACCGGGGATGATACTGAGGCTGCTCCTTCCTCCTCTCAGGAGTCAACGCAGTCTGGCCCACGCAGCCGGGGAAACCCGATCCAGCCTAACCGACCGCGAAATGAAGACTCGGTTTATGGCCGCCGCTGGTAATCAGCATGGTACGAAATTATGAAATGATAGTTGGAGATACCCTTTGGGGAGTCCCGGTTGGCGGGAGGAACGGGTTTGTTTATTTGGCGTATTTCTGCTAGGTTTATCTGATCTCTTGTTTGATATTATATTTTACTGGTTTATCTCGTACGTCTCTTCAACTTCTTGCTACTATGTCAAAACATACACCCCCATACCCTTCATTCCCCATTATCGGCCTGGCGTTGCTCAAGGCCAAAGAGTGGCGGAACCTTGGTCGCTTGATGGCTGGCCTCACGCCTCCCATGTACCCGGAAACAATGCCCGCGAGTCAGATTCCCGCCCAATTCTAGACATGGCGATTTCACAATGGGGCCCGGCATTGTGGTCCGATTGGAATACCCACGATCCTGGATAATAACTGCCGTTGCTATGGATAGGCTTCCCCAAGCTCTATCACGGTGGTGCGATATGTTGCCCTCTATTTGACACTTATGGGCAGACTAACTGAACTTCTTTGATCTATTCCGACTTTATCTTGGAACTTGATACGGCAGGACAGAGGCTAATTGAGAATCCAGTTGTCAAAACGAAGCCGTGTTTCATATCGCCATCCAACACGTTTGTCACATACAGCTGGAACAGACCACTCATCTTTTGTGGAATGTGTGGGGTATCATCCCATCCGAGCTGAGCTGATTCTCGATGGGCCGGAACAGGTACCTCCATTTTAGGTTCTACGGTTCTGGGCCGGAGTGGCCGAGTCTCGCCTTCCTACGCTCTGACTCGATTGCCGGTAATGTCCTGCACATCTTTGCTTGGGTTACACTGACAGCAGAAGAACGCACGTCAAATCTCTCAAATTCTGAGAGCGGACGAGTTCGGCGCAGAAGTTCGCACTCCTGAGATGGTTTGGATGCCTTCAAGCCTGGGCCATCCATTGGGCCAGACCATTTCCCGAAGCTCATACCATGGGTCTGAGATTCTGGTCCAAAGGATTGCAAGTGATTGTCTGATGGTAGTCTCCGGCGAACCGGACAAAGGAACCGAGGACATGCTCCCAGGGAGGAAGCTTGTTTCTTGTGGCTCGTGCTTTGATAGGTTGAGAGCTCACAGGAGAAAGCATGAGCTGGGGAAGAAGCCCCTCGGTAACCCCGGTTGAAGCATGACATTCGTGGAGATCTTTCAATCTCACAACTGTATACCCTCCAATCTCATTTGATTTTCTTCCTACACTCCGTGTGCTGCCCAAGTTACTCTTGAGACACGATGACTTAGATGTCGCCAGTCATTACTTAACCGCGTAAATACCTCGCTAACTTTCTGTGAGCTGCTTCCTGCCGAACTGGCTGCCTGCGTTAGAGTTAACGCCGTGGGTATTCTTAGTTCAAACCACTCAACTGCTCACTCCACCGAAGATCGAAGACTGGGATATGTCTTCACCATCTGACGTTAAAGACAACGGCGATTGGACGGTCATTTACGATGACCAGAATGACGATGACCCAAACGACAGGAAAGAAGAAAAGCCTTCTAGAAGGAGGCAGTCTCTCGCGCGGACGCTGTCAATACCAAAGAGCATGTGTATCATGTCTGACAACAAAACTGAGATATCCACGGTAGCCGAGCTGCTCTCCCCCAAGTTGAAATTGCCTCAACTGGGCATTGATTCGGCGGAGAGAGTCTTTCCCGTTCGCTCGGTCGTCTCGATTGATTCCACACCTTCATCTACCCTGCAGACACCTTCCCTGGATAAGCTCGAAACACCGATATCACCTTTTTCGGACACACGGAGTGCAGGCCCTACCAATGAACAAGCGGGCTCGCAGCACAAGAATACGCCCGGGAAGAGTATGAACCCGGAGGATGGTGTATCAAAGAGACCCGACTATCTCAGTCGACTGCACAAAAAGAGTGATGGTGGGAGCGAGATTTCATCGATGCTCAAAGGACAATCATACACTAGCCATAATCCTGAAATTTTGGCACAATTAAATAGCACATTACAAAATGGTGCCGAAGTCCTTGACTACCACAAAGCGACAAAGGGGATATACTACTCGCATGAAGATGAAGAGGACATCTTCATTCAGTCATTCGGTGCACTCGTTGTGATGACAGAGTCCGACGGTAACTTTGAAGTGCAGATAGCGAGCGACAACTCGAAGGAAATCATTGGGCATTCTCCTGATAAACTCTTCGAGCTTCCAACATTTTGTGATATATTGCCATCCTCGCAACGGAACAACTTTCTTGCTCATGCTCAATTCGTCTCGAGCGATGACTACTCGGTCGAGCATTCTGGCCCCGAGGTTTTCTGCCTTTCTCTGTTATCATCCAACGGATATACCCAGGGTACTTGGTGTACCATGCATACGAGCACAGTATATAAGAATTATGTCATTTGCGAGCTTCAGCCCGACCCTCGAGGGACAGAGGATCACCCCGATTTGCAGAATTCTGATAACCGGGCCTTGGATATGACTTCTGGGGCATTTTTCGAGGATGGAAGCATTCTGGGGAAACGCCCTGATACCAGAAATAGCAAAGTTCCAGACTCATCTGAGCTTCTCAATACCATCCCTCGAATTCTCCAGCGACTTGCAAATGCCCAAACGCTTGAAGCGCTCATTCAACATACCATCACCACTTTGCAAAATCTTCTTGAATTTGACAGAACGACCATATATCATTTTGATAGTGATCGCAACGGAATCGTGCTCGCCGATGCGGTTGATACTCCGTCGGGGTTAACTTCGTACGAAGGCGTACATTTCCCGGAATCAACCTTCTCCGAAGGACTGAAGAAACTATATACACGCAATACTGTATGCTCCTCTTGCTCTGGAAGTCAGGGCACATCAAGGCTTGTGTATCGGGCGTCCACCAACAAAATGGCCCTCGACATGTCAAAGACCTATCTCTCTGCAGCGCCGGCGCTCTCAACACCGCGCACCGACAATCCCGTCCAGACCTGTTTGTCAATTCAAATCAATGTTTTCGGCAAGCTGTGGGGTCTCATATTATGTCAGTCCTACAACAGTAGCCAAAGCCTACATCCGCTCATCCAGAAAGTGTGTTGGTTTGTTACAGGGGCGATTTCAAGTAAGATTGAGCGTCTGTCCTACACCCTGCCCTTTCAATTTCGAGAGCCGGAGGTTCCACTGGATGAAGCGAGCATACCTCAGGCTATCCAAACTCCACCCGGTGACCTTCTCAGTCTGTTCGGGGCAGATTACGCCGCAGCGTCGATTATGGGCGACGCCAAGATCTTGGGGAAACCAGCCGACTCGCAGGAAGTTCTGGCATTATTCGAATATATGAAAGCTAAAGAGAACGACACTGTGTTTTGGTCGGGAGATATCGCTGCCGATTTCCAGGATCTCAACTACTCACCTGGCTTCCATCATCTTTCTGGCTTGCTTTATGTTCCTCTTTCAGTGGACGGTCGTGATTTCATCATCTTCTTCCGGGCTGATCTAGAAAGCCGTAACCTCGCGTCTGATTCAGAAAGATCGAGTCGCCAACACGAGTGGTCGTCAGCAGAGTTTGGAAAGGCGTCTGTTCTGTCTTTGCTATATCGCACTTTCACCGACATATGGCAAGAGAAGGAGGCTACACTGCAGAACAACCAGTTGATGAGGCTTTTACTCGCTAATTCTGCGCACGAGTTCAGAACACCTCTCAATGCCATCATCAACTATCTGGAGATCGTTCTCGATGGACCTCTGGATCAAGAAGCGCGAGACCACATATCCAGATCTCACTCTGCTTCCAAGTCCTTGGTATACATCATCAATGACCTTCTAGACCTCACAAATGCCGAAAATGGACAACGGTTGATAAAGGACGAGGTATTCGATCTTTCAGAGACCCTCACCGAAGCAACAGATATATTCTGGGAAGAAGCAAGGCAGAAGCATGTTGACCTGCAGGTAGTCCAACACGCAGCCCTACCTCCCGTCCTCGGAGATCAACGACGGGTACGCCAGGTGATAACAAACTTGATCAGCAATGCTATACAGCACACATCCACGGGAGCAGTAACAATTGAGTCTTGCATCGTACCGGAGTTACTGGAGCTAGATCATATCTGTGTTGAGGTGGCAATACACGATACTGGGTCCGGCATGTCCCAAGAGACTGTCGAAACATTATTCTGCGAGCTGGAACAAGTCTCCAACAAGGGATATATGCATAGTCCTAAGTCATACGAGCGCACCCCAAGTGACAATGCGTTAGAGACTGAAAGTGTACTTGGTCTGGGCCTCGCACTTGTCGCGCGAATCGTTCGCAATATGAACGGGCAGCTAAGCTTGAAGTCTAAAGAAGGCAAGGGAAGCTGCTTCAAGATCAGGCTTGCATTTCCTCTTCCGGGTGAAAAGAGTGGTCAAAAACAGAACGCATGTGCTACGTCAAACAAACATCTGCAGGAAGATGAAAGAAAACAAGACACAAAGCAAGACACCACATCCTCGAGTTGCGTAACAAGCCAGGAAGAACGGGGTATTCCATGTGAATGTGGTCAAAGTCCAGAACTCGGATCAGAGCGATCCATCGTGGACGTCGATGTAAGCTTGAAAACTGGCGAATCAAGAAACATCTCCCTTTCTGGCCAACAGCTCCAACAGAGCAACCAGCCAGATAAACCAACCACTTCCCTTCCAAAGCAAGATCCTAGGCGACGATCAGAAGCATCCAAATCCCCCATGAAAGAAACCTTGTCGACCTCGCCACCCACAAAATCCCAAACCAACCAGCCCCAAACCCCCCAACCAAGCGTCTCTCCCGCAATGGACTGGAACCTCCACGTTCTCGTCGCGGAAGACGACCCAATCAACAGCACGATCGTCCAAAAGCGGCTCGAGAAATTCGGGCACACAGTGCACATGACAAACAATGGCAAAGAATGTGCATCTGCCTACAAAGCGAATCCCACTCATTTCGATGCAGTGCTGATGGATCTTCAAGTACGCCCAACCAAAAATCAAACGATTCCCAACTCAATTCATATGCTAACCGTCAAATTTCCACCCGCAGATGCCTATCGTCGATGGCCTCGGTGCAACGCAGATGATACGCGAATACGAGCAGCAAGAGCTGGCTAATGAAAACACGCCTGCGCCTCGTATTCCTATTTTTGCTGTCTCGGCTTCCTTGCTCGAGGAGAATCGGAAGATGTATATGGATTCGGGGTTTGACGGGTGGGTTATGAAGCCCATTGATTTTCACAGGGTGGATCGGTTGCTTGGGGGTGTTAGGCTTCAATGGGTACGGGAGGAGGTCGTTTATCAGCCTGGTGTATGGGAGGCTGGAGGGTGGTTTGAAGCATAGATGACATGCTGTATCGGAGCTGGGATGGAGGTTACTTTGACTCGAAGAAACTGCTGAAATGGGGGAAGATATCCAATATCCAGATCCGGGAATAAATCATATGCAAGAAATCTAATATTTATCCGTGGTATCTATGCAAACAAGAAAATGAAACGCAAAATGCAACAAAATTCAGACAAATGCAGTAAAATCAGATCAGAAACTTTCTGCTGCATCGGAAAAGTCCGGTACTGTATCGCCGCACTTGAATGAAGGACTATATGCCTTGCTTGGCATATATCCATTCTTCCATGCAGTGCGATAACTCCACTGCGCGGCTGACTCCGTCCGCCAGGTCCAGTAAAACCATCCCATTGCCGTTTCAAAGGCAGACATCTGTGCCTCGGCATATGTTTGCAGGAACTTTTTGTATGTATCCGTATACTCGGATGGGTCCTGGTTCGCATCTGCGCAGCTGCACGTTCCTTGGTCCGCTGTTGGGCAATATGCCGTATTCGAATTTGTATCGTAGGTCCCTTCCCATCGAGTACCCCGGCCGACATTGTTCACGTACTGCGCGCAGTCTGTGTCTGCCTGCGACCATTCACCGCAAATGGTAGGACCCCACCTAGTTGTGTGTTAGCGTATGAAATCAGAAAGAAAAAAGGAGCTCCATTTACCCAGAAGTGGTCGTGTTGATCTCCTTGAGCATGGGGTGCCAATTATTGCAGATGACGTCGACCTTCGCCGTGTGATTCAACACGATCTCGCCCGTGTTAAAGGTGGTGTATTGATGGGTGTCGAGGTACATGTTGTCCGGGTGAGTTTGGAACATGTTGTCCCACTTGTCGAGGTTCAGAAACCCATCATGAAGGACAAGAGTGGCAGTAACACCATTTTTGCGGACGAGTTCCGCTGCCTCTTGGGTCCAATCTAGGACCTTCTCGACGGGCAGGGTCAGCATCAATGGCTCGTTCACCAGACCGTAGATTGTCACCACGTTCTTATACCGGTCTTGGGCAAAGAACTGCGAGAGTTGGTTGTGAATCTCAAGTGATCGCTTACGGTTGAGGGTACCATCCGAGCCGGTCAACCAATTGATACTGCCCTGCTGGCCGCTGTGGTTCCAACCGTTTTGACTGCCGGGGAGTCCGTGAAGGTCGAGTTTCACCCGCAGCCCGTGCTTGCGGCACCACTCGATTGCACGCAGGAGATAACGCCACGCAATCTTAGGGACGTATGGGTCGCCGTCGTAGGTAGTTACGGCCCAGTAGGAGTATGGGATGCGGACATGATCCAGTCCTGCTTCCTTGATCTCTTTTATGTCTGACTCTGAGATGAATTCGGCATAATGTTTCTCAAGCGTGCCAGCGGCAGAGCTTCCAAGCTTTCTGGTCAAGGTATACTCATCGATGATACTAGCGCTGGATGGCCACTTGCTGAACAAGGACGGGGTGATGAAGGGTTCAATCGAGAGCCATCCTCCTAGATTGACTCCACGGATCGGCTGCGTGCCATAAGGGAACGCCTTGCTAAGCGGAGGCACATTGTCGTTCGCCCGAGCAGAGTCATCCCAAGCCGAGTTGATTCCCATGACGGAAAGACCACCCACAGTGGCATTCGTGAAGGTGAGGTTGAACCCTTCGGTCTCGTACCACGTAAATGGGTCCAAGACGGTGCCCTTGGCGTAACTCTGAAGCGCTGCTGTCAGCAAATTCCATCAAGGTGGTGCGCTCAAAACTTACCGGTATGCTATCACGGCTAATACTGCCCAAATTAGAGGTAGTAGAACTACCATCAGAGCCCGAGGAACTCGGTTTCGAATCTGAGCCTCGCTTTTTTGACACAACAATTGCAACCGGAATGATGATAGCAAGCAAGAGGAGCAACACCAATAGACATCCGACCAAGATACGTTTCTTTCTCGACCAATTGGACCAAAATTTCCAAGCCGGTGGCCCTCCACGGCTGTCCGAGCTGCCTTCCCAGCTGTCTTCGTCTTTCCAATGGTCCTCCATAGCAGGTCCACCACCGCCACGACGACGGACCCGAGCGTCAGAGCTATGTCCTTCTTCTAAATAAGCACCAGACACAACTCGCGCGCCCGCTTTATGGCGTGACCGACCCTGCGCGAGTTCAGTACCAAGCGCCGCACCAGCAGCACCATCCAAAGCAGCCCGCTTCCGCTGTCGTCGACGTTCTCGACGCGCATCATCTTCTGCACGAGACCGTTCCATACGATCCGCATCCTCATGCTCAGCGGCAAGACGCGCCATAGCATCCACACTTAAGAGATGCGCAGCACTACTCGAAGACTCAGTGCTGCGATGTTTCCTCGCCGACGCCGCAGCATCGGTTTCCCGCTCACGCTCCCTTTCTCTTTCCCGCTCGCGCTCGCGCTCACGTCGCCTCCGCCTCCGCGCCTCGGCCTCAGCATCAACATCAATATCCCTCGTCCGTCTCTCTCTAGCAGGACTCGCACTCGCACTCTCCTCTCTGCGATATCGCCTCTCTCGATCCCGCCGTTTAGTAGGCGACGTAGCAGGCGAGTCCTTCACCCTAGAAGTTCCCCTCTCTCTATCCCGTCTCCTCCCCTCCCCAGAACCCCCATAAGCAAGTCCGGCCGCCTCATCCTCTTCCTCCCTCCGTCTGCGCCTCCGTTCCCTGCGCGGCTCACGCTCCTCGTCATAATCATCGCGCTCGTTATACGAGTTCGACTCGTACCCCGACTCCCCGCGGAAGCGGTATTTTGCGGTGCGCGCGTTGCCAGGGCTGGATGTTGCGCCTTCGTCCGGGTCTTCGTAGCGGCCGCGGATGTACTCGCGCTCTCGGTCGCGGTCGCGGTCTCGGCGGCGTGAGCGCTCTTGCTCGCGTGCGCGGTCGCGATCCCGATCCCGGTCCCGTTTGTCGGGTCGGTCTCGGGGTTGGGGTTGGCTTGGCATGCCAGATCGGGGTGGGGGGTTTTGGTGTGGTATGCGCTGATCGGTGGGACGGGGAATGTGGAATTGTTGGGGATGTTGATTGTCGATTGGGTTCTGTTAGGTGGGAAGGGGAAGGGTGAATGGAATGTGTCGAGGTTTGGACACGTGGGATGTTTTGAGGAAGTCCACCTGGGCAGCCTGTCTTGGAATTCTTGGAAGTCTTGGAATTTCTACATCGGGTCGGTTTAAGCTGGTAATATTTTGTATTTGTTTTGCTTTTTCCCCACACGGATGCCAAGCAATTATATAAAAGGTAAATGTCGTGTTAAAACTGTTCGTTCCCTATAAAGCTCTATATATTATCTGCATGTATATACTCAGCAAAGTTCTGTTCATGGTGTATTACCTAAATACTGGGCATATTGCCCCATAACGTAACTAATATTCATCGATTATTAACTCTAATACGATACCTTTTCTGTACAGTGTCCTCGTGCCGTTCTCATTTATCTATATATGTAGCTATATGAGGATGCTCACCGTCGTAGTCCACAGGAAAGTATCTCGCCGCCGTCAAGGCCGGCCGGAAGGTAAATCAAGAGATAATCGACGATCTCTTCAAACAACTCCCAGTCAAGCCTGGCCAGCTGCTTGTTTGATTGTAATGGAGGGTTTTTTGACACGGTACACCCAGTTGCCACTAGACGAGATCATCAAATGGAGTGGGAAGTCATTTAAGACTGGAAGATGTCGATCCTGTATTATCGACAGAATGGAACACGAGTTAGCTAGGGACGATGGAGTTTTGCTCGTCTGAGTCTTTGTTCTTTTCCTTTTCCTTTGTTGTTCTGTTCGTTGCAATTAAAGCTAAATGAGTTCGTACAGCTGCGCCAGATAGTGTATGGAGGAACGGTGTCCGCGGCGATGATCTACGATGACCGACCTATATTCGATCACTTCGTTTATGTGAATAATAATTTGTTGCCAGCCGTTATGGAGGGCACAGGGCTAGGACACGCAGGGCTATTTTACTTTTATCTGAAGAGATAGACCATTCGTTTGAAATGCAGGCTAGGTAGGCCGATTGGATTCGTAGTTGTGACGGATAAATAAGCGCTTTGGCTAGTTATAAGGCTTTGGTGCCAGTAAAAGCCAACCTCTATATATTTAGCTCAAGTGGGAGATTTATAGTACTAGTCCAGCAAGTTAATTTCTACACGACCGCTGTGCCGGTACAGAAGAAGATATACCTAGTGCGACCTTTACTCCCTACTTCGCCTTCATATAAGCATCTATACACCTAAAGTCTATTTATACCTCTACCCGTGCTACAAGTGATCTCAAAATGCTCAGTAGCACCGGTTTAATCCTTTATCAGTGAGGAGCTGTTAATATAGATCTTCTATAAAATAGAGAGGCTGTCTACTTCTCGCTAGTGTACCACTTTTATTAGAAGGTAGTTATGATAAGGTCCGAAAGTAGGAAGAAAAGAAGTCGGTAATAGACCACTTTATAGCGATCCCTCTTTCCACCCGATTAATTGGATCTTACGATGAAGTGGCAATAGTATAGTAGAACTTGGTCAAGCAAGTCGATAATCCAATTATGTTTAGACCTGTCAACCTCGCTTGTTCCTACCTATCTCTGCATCAATTTCTTCGTCAATCCTCCCAATTTCATCATCATACCAAGCACCAAGCTAACTATTCGCGATTACTCGCTTGTAGTGGAAAAGGCCTATATACATAACCACCTGATAGGATGACCCCTTGCATTTCTGCCTCTCCTAGTACCTAAGTGACCTTCCACTAGTAACGACTGGTTGCGACTAGTAGCCAAATTCAACTGAAAGGCTGACGCGCCACCAACTAGCAACGGCACCAATCGGCAAACGCGGTGCTTTAAATATAAAGGATGAGTTTAGTTCGGGGAGACTAGCTAGCTAGCTAGTTTTGGTGAATCCTTACACATGACCGCTGTGAGAGTAGGGGAAATAGTAAAACCAGTTGAAGCCAGGTATTTCTATGTAAAAAGCAAATATAAGATGAGCTCGTATAATCAGCGAGACGTCACAAATATATCGTGTGCTATCCCACTTTTTTATAGGAAATTTTACCGAATTCAATATGCGGGATTTTTCTGCGCCTCTCCTTCATGTGGGAAACACGAGAGGACATCTAAGCTTAACCACAAGTGATCGAGTTCGTAAAACTTCTTGAGGAAAGAACTATTGTGGGCTCATTCATATTAATATCTGATTGACTAAAGATTATCGTTCTTCTCTTTAACTACGTAACATTTTTTTTTGGCAACATGACTGAGGCAACTAGTGATCTGAAATTTTTAGACCTCGATTTGCCGCAGGCTCTATAGACTTGGCTAAGGCAGCCAAGGCAGCCATTCTAAGATAGAGTAAAGGGAGATGAAACAAGCTATTTATCCTTATATCGATGAAACAGAGTGCTTTCGAGGGGTCTAACCCTAAGATAGGAAAGTACATGCAGTTATCTACCAGACGATCTGCACTATAACAGAGACCGTTTGGCCAATGGTACCAAAAAAATAAAACATAGGATCTAAGCAGCTGATTTGACTGTTCGAGTTAAAGATTCTCTTTTTGATGCTCAGCCTCGTTTGATCTCGCGCGCTAACCACGGATGTTCGAGCTGACAGCCAAGCCGCAAGCGGCCCAGAAACTTGATTTGTCTGGCAAATGCCTCACGCAGAACTTTTTTATCGCACTGTGTTTTGTACGCGATAGTTTTTGAAATTACGATAAGCTTGCGACTATATAATGGAATTCTGCAGTCTTCAAATTCCGTGAAACAAAATTCCGTGAAACGATCCTGCGAGTTTCTGTGCCATGTGGAAGCCACCGATAAACTTTCTCGCCCTGCATTGTACGCATCTGCACAATATTCCCTGTTCGCTTCTAATTTTTCTCCACAGATGCATGGATTATCACTCTCAGCATTCTGAGCTTAGTTATCATCTACCCTTATGGTAATCTGAAAGCCATCGATGCTTTTTTCTTCGGAGCCAGTGCGTCGACTGAGTCGGGTCTGAATACGTGAGTATCTTTTTATTCGTTCTTTTCGTTCCCATTCAGCTAAACGGAGACTTTCCGTGGATATCTAGTGTCGATGTCAAATCTTTGAAGACCTACCAACAGCTATACATATATTTCATTCCAATCCTGGGAAATTTGGGGTTCATCAACATCATCGTAATTATATTTCGGCTTCGATGGTTTGAAAAGCGCTTTAAAGCAATCGGTGAGAAGTCTTCCACCCCTGCTCAATGCCATCGAGAACTAACTTGCCTCTCCACATACAGCACCGCATCTTTTGAGGCGGGAAGTTCCCGCTGAACAAGATGCAGAGGCACAGTTGAAGCACAAAAGAAGTCTGAATGGCACCGATGATGAAGTCCCAAATGATGCATTGAACAGCCACGAAATAGACGACTCGAATAAAGAAAGGGCCCGTGTTGAAAATCGGGACAAATCTTCTAGGTTGGTTTCGATGCAATTTGTTCTCAATACGATGGGTACTAACTCATACAGCGTTTCCTTGGAACCGAAGGAGGCGAAAGCCGATGAGCCAGCCGTTCCGAATATTAACCCGACGAAGCAAACCATTACCTTCGCTGAAGATGAGCGGCCGGCTTCCGACAAGGACAAAGCTCTGTATATTCCGCCTCCCTGGAGCCGTGAAAGAGGTATATGAAAATCAGTCTCGTATTTTCCGTCCGTATCCTCACGAATACTCTACAGGGGCATCGTTTTCTGAGATTGATGAAAGGCTTCACGATGAAGATGATGGTAAGTCCTGATAATACAAGGCATAAACGTAATTCCAAGTTAATCGCTAACTTGGTTTATAAAAGGACGACCCGAGAAAGGCCTTAGTCGCCGACAGACTACCAGAAGCATACAGTCGCGTTCACGTACTCAGACGCTTGAGCGAGTCGTGAGCTCCGTATTCGTTTTGGGGGGTTCCACTAGCTTTGACCGAGGGATGCCAGCGACAAAGCCGAGGGAAATGAAACAGCTGGACTTGCCGAATATGTCTTCTCAGGCTACAATAGGCCGGAACTCCCAGTTCCATAATCTATCTGCCGAAGACCGGGAGACACTCGGCGGTATCGAGTATCGAAGCTTGAAGCTCCTGTTAAAGATTGTCGTGGGATACTTCTTTGGTCTGCATCTCTTCGGTGCAATCTGCCTTGTGGGGTGGATTATGCACGCGGATCCGAAATATCGTGACTACCTCGCTGAATGTGGGCAAGGCAAGGTTTGGTGGTAAGTCATCTCTGTCAACTGCAATCCACGATATAGTGACTTATTTTATCCGCTGCACGATAGGGGCTTTTACTCCGCTCAGACGATGGTCGACAATCTTGGCTTTACTCTGACACCAGATTCGATGGTCTCGTTTCAAGATGCGACCTTCCCAATGATTCTCATGAGTTTCCTTGCATTTGCCGGGAACACTTGTTATCCATGCCTTCTTCGACTTGTTATCTGGATCTTCTACAAAGTTTGCCCGGAGAAATCCTCGCTCAAAGATCCACTCAGGTTCCTGCTCGATCATCCGCGACGGTGTTATACACTGCTTTTCCCAAGCGGGCCAACATGGATTCTCTTCGGAATCCTATTCGTCATGAACTCTGTCGATGTTATTCTCATCATTGTGCTGGACTTGAACAATTCCGCCGTAAACAACCTGGCACCTGGTCCTCGAGTTCTCGCCGCTATTTTCCAAGCTGCATCGGCGCGTCATACGGGTACCGCGTCTTTCAACTTGGCCGATGTGAGCCCAGCCGTCCAATTCAGCTTGGTGGTCATGATGTATATTGCAATTTTCCCGATTGCTATTAGCATCCGAGCTTCCAATGTCTATGAAGAGAGGACACTGGGCGTATATGGTACCGAGGGTAGCATAAACGAGCATGACGGCCGGTCTTACATTATGAACCATATTCAGAACCAACTGACTTTTGACCTGTGGTACATTTTCCTCGGCTGCTTTTGCATCTGCACGGCCGAGGCCGGTAAGATTGCAGATACGTCAATTCCGGTAAGTGATCGATATCTAATCGTACGATCATAAATCTAACCATTCCAGGCTTTCTCTGTGTTCTCGGTGTTATTCGAAGTAGTCTCGGCATAGTGAGTTATCCATGTTGGTATTTACACCTTTGCGTTGACTAATTTTGATGAAGTGGCAACGTCGGGCTTAGTCTTGGGTATCCCACCGTTTCGACTTCTCTATCTGGAGAGTTTACCGTGTTCAGCAAGCTTGTCGTTTGTGCCGTGATGATCCGAGGCCGTCACCGTGGTTTGCCTTACAAGCTCGACCGTGCCATTGTTCTCCCAAGCGACCGCCTTGAAGAAGATCACCGAGGTGGGAATGAGGTTCAAACCAAGGTTGACTGAAGGAGATTTTTCAAGACTTGCTCGCAAATTTCTGTATCACAATGCTATGCTATTAGACCGCCGCTACAATAGGAATACTGGAGAGTGCGGACATACTGAAGAATAGTCTCCTGCAGGATAGTGGGCCAGCGATCGTATACAACCCCAGGAATGCACCTCATGGTCCCAACCAATCACTTCAGAAAACACTATTGGAGAGGGGTATAATGTTGATGAACAATAAAGAAGAGGAAGCTCAGAGAACGTCGTCAGGAGCAAGGCAAGGCCGAAGTCAGCCATTCCGTCGGAGGGAAGAGGAGGAAGCCCAGAGAACGGCATCAAGAGCGAGAAGATCGGACAGCTTCTGCAATTTCCTTCATATCGTCGTTTGACAGATGAAAATCTGTCTCGCTGCCCCTCTTCGCGCGAAGGAAGCAGTCGTCAAATTGGATATCCATCGAGCCTGTGATGTGGTACTGGTTTGGGCCGGTAAGTCGCTTTCGAGAGATCTTCATTGTTTGGATGGGCTGAACAGAAGTCCCGCCAGTGTTTTGGTCGAGTTCCCATTGCTCAACTGTAATATTCCCCGTCCGCGTAACCTCTATAGTAAGGGCGACTTTGACCTGTTGGGTTGATTCACGGAGCCAGAACAAAACATCTTCCCTCAGTTTGGCCCTTGACTCAGACCACCCTACTTCGACAAGGATTGTCGGCCACTTCAAATCTCTTCCGGGTGCTTGGATTGAGCTCTTCCAGCTAGAATCTGGGCACTTTCTGCGTGTGGAACCTTCGATAGTCACACGTCCTATAGGCACAAGACGGCTTTCCTGGCCACGAGACCAAGTCGCAAAAATTTCACTGAATGAACGATGGGCGGTTTCGTGCGTAGGAGTCGGCAGTTTCATGACAATAGTGAGGGAAATGAAGTTGTATGTCACGAATGAATGTGTAAGGAGGCTTTCTCCAGACTCGTCCTCGAAACACTCCTGGAAGGAACGCTCATCCACGTGATCAAATATAATATACGAGTAGTCAGCGGGTTGGCCATCTCTGTTATAACGCTCTAACTCAAGTTCGAAGCATCTAAGACATTGCTTTATGCCTTGATATTGGTATCTTGGTGTTGTAGTAGGAAGACCTTCTTCTCTCAAAATATCTCCAGCCATGAGGGTAAATCCGTGCTTCTTTAAGACGCTGAAACTGATGGGAGCCCTGGAGGCGGATCAAGGGTCACTTCAAGGATAATGTGATGGTGATGTCGTAAATCATGTGACATGTGTTAGGAATGGATACTACGGCAATACCATGCCATAATAATTACGACAGTCCAGTTAAAAATGCGTAGTACCTATATCCTTCCAAGGTCTATCCGTAGCGCTACTTGATTCAAATTGGTTGTATTGTGGTATAAGAGGATAACATTGATGACAGTAAGTTTATAGTAATACCGGAATGGGTATACTCGATACTCATAAAAGCTTCACTTTCTGAGTTAAATCGAACTTACTTGGATATAGATATATCTCTTTCAGTCCTCACTTTCCGAGGTAAGTCAGAAAGTGTGATAGATCAGGCTTATAGTGACAACCATTCACATTATGTGATATTGTTAAGACTCGGAAGATACACCGGTGCCGCTATAGTAAATACATATTTCTTATCGATATAAACGAACATTGAAGAAAATGATACTATCTCTAATAAAGAGATAAGGATGCCCCCGCTAGAATAAATTCGAATCTAAGCTTTTAAAGAACGCGAGTGCTTCTTACTGCTATAAGCGAGGCGATTTGCTGAGGCTATAAAGGGCTCTAAGAAGCCTCTAAGATTCGCTATAGTAAGTGTGTGATGTTTAAAAATCTACGTGTACCTACGTGGAGAATTTGAGAGAGAACACCGAAATTTCATTGTCATTGAAAGAAAGTCGAAGGGCCCGCCCGTCGCCTGCGCTTGCGCTCTAATGAAAAAGGTGTTAACAATCTATTATTTGTTAAGTGCCCTAGATATTTAACGCCAACGAGCACTTGATCACTACCAAGGTAGGTTCTCTTACTCTTGGACTTGGTCTCCTGCAGACACGTCAAGGAATGCATAACACGTGAACCAACAGCAGCAACAAGCAAAAGAAGCCGAGGAACCAGAGGAAACACTTCAATTGGCACAATTACAATAGGACTTACATTGCGCTCTAGCCGGCCCTTCATCTTCAAGCGCTTCTTCTGGCGCTTGCTAAGCTCACCCGCAGGTCCGCGGGGAGGAGGGGGTGGAGGCGGCGGAGGGCATGCGACTGAAGGCATTTCTATTAAAACAAAAAAAGAGGTGTCAGACGGAGGGAAAAGAAAGGGAAGTTCTAAGACAGTGGGAAGTTGGATTTGAACCGACACCTTCTTGCCATACGCACCTTCCTCATTCAGACTGATGTTGCCTATTGTTCTCAGGTATTCTAATTTTCTACCTTTTAAATGACCATTGTTTCAATTTAAAGAAAGGATGAGTTATTTTATCAATTGAAGGCAAGAGGAATTCATGAATACTCTATTTCTCCTTCCACATAGACGGAACACTGTAAATCAAAGTCAGCTAGTAGTCAGTTAAGAGTTACTATCCCCACTCACGAAACCTCAATAACAGCACATTTACCACCCTGGACAACGCCTGTCGCTTCTTTGATAGCAGGATCAAGCTCGCCTTGCGTGGTGACTGTTGCACCCCACGCCTTACCGGCTGCAGCGGCGATACCGGGGTAATCGGGAGAAGGCTCAAACGAGATATTGAGATCTGCAGTAAATCAGCCCACTGTGCACAAGATAGTTAGTTCATAGCTGGCTAACCTCGTCTATTTGACTTCGACGATAGCCCTTCCTTGTGGACTAGAAGCGCAGACACCTTTGGTGCGTTCCATCCGCCGTTGTTAAGCACGACGAGGAGGAAAGGAATATCGTAGCGTCTGGCGATCCAATAGACGCTTTCCATCTGCGAGAACAGATATACTCCGTCACCGACGCTGTGCGTTTATTAGAGATTGAAAGGTGCTCTCACAGTTGTGAACACTTACACTGCACATATGAATGAACCGGGCTTTCCTAGCTTGACGCCCAGTGCTGCACCACCTCCCCATCCTAAACCACCTGCACCGCTGGCAACCAGACTTCCTGGCTGGAAGCTAATTAGCATAGAGTCAGCAGCTTGATATAAATACACACCTTTGTCAGGTTTAGATGGTGGATGAGATGGCCGGCATTGGTTACAGCCTCCAAAACGTAAATAGTCCCTTGGGGGAGGCAATTACGCAGTCTTGATGCTAGGTATGGCACACTGACTACGCCATCTTCGGATGGTGATTCAAGTGTTTGTAGAGTTTCCCTCCAGGTCTTGTAGTTCTTTGACCGCTCCTCAAACTCCAGGGTGTACTTAGCCCGGTCAATGTTCTGCTTATCTAGGAAAGCATTGATTTGCTCAAGCGCAATTTCACAGCCAACCTTGAGCCTGCGAGTGGCATTGATTGAAAAGACTAATACATAACGATTAGCAAGAAAGCATAAGAAGGTTAGCGCAGCCGCCGATATGTGGACGTACGTGGCATCTGTTGCTTCAGCGGATCGACGTCCAGATGGAACACCTTCGTGCCTGCAGCGCCTGTCAGAAAAACATTCAAACATTGCTTTCTAGGCATCCTTACCGCTCCGGGGCTTCCCAGCAGTAGGAATCCAAGGCACATCGCAATCGAGAATAAGAATGACGTCGGCTTCAAGGACTTCCGGATGAGTAGTGACGGTAACACCGCGATATGCTTCGTGGTCACTCCTCAGACAAACGTCAGAGCCGACCATCTCCACGACAGTGATTGGAAGCTTGTCACAAAGCTCGGCTAAGAAGGCTGGTGCTTTGAGATTCCGACCAAGATAACTTGTGATGACGAGCGGTCGCTTTGCACCCATGAGCGACTTGGCAATTAATTCCACCTCTATTGGTGTTAGCGACGTGAAGTTATCGCTTGGATAAGGACTAAATACCTTGCTCTGGCAATGCACTTGGAGCGATTGAACTGAGAATTTCCCCGTCTAGGGATTCCTTTCCCACATGCTGCATAGCAGATTCGGTTAGTAGTAATTTTAGTTTATCTCGATCAATGCAAATTCTTACTTCCTCAAGTACCTCTCTCGCGGCCATTAGATATGCCGGGCCTTTGGGGTCAGATGTAGCAAATTGCAAAGCTCGCGAGACCATCTGCTTGATATTGCGTCCGGTCTTTATTTCACCTGTGTATCTGCAGTATTGTCGGACAATCGCTGCTTGATCGGGTACGTCTTGTAGCCAATGGATGAACCTGTATTAGTGTCAGTAGAGTCAATGTAAACATTCTCTCTCGGGCTTGCTGACTCTGTTCTGGAACCCAACAATTCGCCATTCTGGGTGAAAGGACTTAAGCCAGCAAAGCACAGGACAGGAACTCTGCTAACGGAGGCGTTATGTATGGACTGCCCCATAGCGAGAGTACCGCAGTCGACATGCACAATTACACATTGCTGGCGAGAAGTTAGCGAAAACCGGTTGGTATAATGGATAAAGTCACCTACCGGAACTCCGGTGGCTTGAGCATATCCCAGTGCCGCTGATAGCGCAACTAGCTCGGAAGGGCAGGTAATGATGTTTGGAAAATTGAGTTTGTTTTCTACATATATAACAATTTAGCCCTGGTTAAGGATACCATTTCCAGAACTCACCTTGCTTAGCCTTGATCATCGCTTCCAACATCGCGGGATGGTCGCTCCCTCTATTGGACCGGTTAAAACATATCAGTTTGGTGGTTATTACAGGGACTCACAGGTTGACGAAGCAGTGAGTGATGCCGGCCTCAGCTGAGAGAAAGGTTAGCCCCTTCCTAATGACTGCGTGAGTGATCACATACACAGCGCCTCGAAGAAATTCTCAGCGGCAGATGTGAGACTACCATCTTTTACAATGTCATCCTCGTCATCGCTTTCTTGCTTCTTTCGTTTCTGGGGTACTGTATTCGACTTCATTGTGTACGTTTTGCAATTGAGTTGCAATTGGTATGTGTTGTCGATTGAGGGGGCGTCCGAGTTTAAACATCAACCAACCCCCTTGGAGCTCTAGGCCAATGCAGCTCTATATGCGAACCCCGCGTAGTAACAAAGTGGATCCAGGCCAATCATTTGCAAGAGTAGATCAGCGCATAATTCCGCTATTTATGGTGCTTTAAATTGGAATACCCGAGGGATGATCGGCATTTGTATACGGCAGTGTCTCGGAATCCTCTCGATTAGCCTATTAATATTGAACTAGGTCCTTTGAACTCAGGGATATCATTTGCAATGATATGTATGCGCCACGGGCCTGATCAGTTTCTATGGAATATGTAATAGTAGCTTCCAGATGTATATAACTAGACGCAAATTCTTGCCGTTACCGTAGCACAAAACGGAGCGCCGTAAGGCTAGGTAGCACGAGTAAGCTTAAAAACATCATCCCGAGGTCTTCATTTTGAGCTTGTCATGGTTGACGATCTCGTTTTTTTTCTCCACAAGCTCCTTTATATCCCAGGGACAGCTCACGTATCTCCCGCCCAGCCACTCTCTAGCCAACCATGCAATCGTATCACCCGCTATATCTTGCCGAACGGGGAATGCATTCCGCACCCTCTCTGGCAAGTCCTCAGGAACCTCTGTAATTCGTTAGTTGCCGCTTCGGGCACGTCTTTGTGACTCTCTAAAATCCCGCCCTCTTCCACGTGGTTTATTAGAAATCTAAAATGATGAGAATGAAGACAAAAGGGGAAAAAGAGGCTGGTGGGAAGGAGGAAAGCTAACGGTCGGTCGCGTCAGATCGCCTTGTCGTCCAACGTTGTCATGCCGACTTGCCCAGGTGTGTGCCCCGTTATCTCTGGTTTATGCGAAACCCAATATCCAAAATTCGCCGTCCTCATATCAATCACCCCCAATAAAGAATCAGATCTCGCCAATAACGCTCTTAAGTATCTCGGGGACAATAACACCCGCATCTCCCTGGAAGAACCAATCACCGTAATGAAGCTGGCCCGGTGTATCGTTGGGATCCATATTGCAAACCGCAACTCGGGCGCCCTGCGAACGAGCCTCGTGGACATACCCTGCAGCTGGAAAGATCCTCGCGCTGGTGCCAATTACCAAACACAGGTCGATCGGACCCGCCGCGATCCACTTATCGATAGCCCTGATCGTCTTCTCCGGCAAGGGTTCTCCAAACCATACAACCCCCGGTCGGAGCAAGCCATCCTCGCATCGCGGACATTGAGGTAGGTCCTCTTCGGTCACTGTGGCGATAGGATTGCTGGCATCGGAGATGTCAACCTCGGTGCTCGTCTCGTCCAGCGCTTCTGCGATCGCTTTCGATGCTTGCTCGCCGGTCTTGTCGGTCGCGGAGGGATTAAGGCCTGAACTCTTTTTTGGGATTTCGAGGGCGGGAACGATGGGATCTGTGTAGTTGTCTTCGCTGTAGTTGCAATAGAAGTTGGTGCATTTGACAGTGAACAAAGTGCCGTGGAGAAGATACAGCTGCTTCGCGGGATGGTTCGCTCGCTGAGAGAGGCCTAGAAGAAATAGGGATTATTAGGAAAAAAGCAAAACAACTTGGCGGACACCCATACCGTCAACATTTTGGCTCAATGTGATGAAGTCTTCATTCCTTCGCGATAGCTCCGCCAAGGCGTAATGTGCTTTGTTGGGGTCAGCTTGCAAGGCCATGTGTCGCCGATAGCTGTAGAATTGCCAGACGAGACCGGGAGTCTCGTCGAAAGCCTCTGGAGTCGCGAGGGAGGTTGCATCGTGGGAACGCCAGAGTCCGCCTGCGCCACGGAAGGTGGGTAATCCTGATGAAGCTGAGATTCCAGCTCCAAGAAGAGCAACGATGCGTTTGCAGCCTTTCAAATATTCGGTAAATGATTGAAGGTCAGCAGCCGGCACAATGCTCTTTGCAGATGAAGCCATGGCCTTGTCACAAGATTGAAGGTGGAAGAGCCGAAACTAAAGTGGGTGGAGATGCGGGGGATTTATACCATCTCAACGCCTGATCTGTAAGGCGTCAGAGTAAATCATTGCTCAAACATCTATCACTTCATTGGCATGTAGTTGTCGAATTACTCGTGGTGTTTCTTTTCTTTTTCTCTTGCAAAGAAACGGAATATAGCAGTTTAGCAGGAGCTATTTTCTGATTCTTCCAACATTAGTATTATATAGTTCTCTTTAGGTCAATCCAATAGCACAGATTACTTAAAGTGGCCTTCTATACAGTGGAACAGGCATAGGAGGGGAACATAACGCGCAAGAGACATTGCCAATCAACTATTAGATTGTAGAAGCTTAGCCTAGCCTTGTCGGACACGCCCTGGCGTGTAACACTAGCGCGTTTAACCAACGCAACGCTGTCCTACCGTTGGCTTCATTTTCAATCAGTTCCAAATATGGCACCTCTAAACCCAGGAGACGAATCAGATGGGGAAGAAACCCGGGCAAAGAAAAATCCAGTTCAAGGTGACGACTGAAAAGACAATTCGTCTCCAACCCCCCAGGCCAGTCACTCCACCATTCCCGGAGAATAAAGATCTGAAACAAGTCCCGCCAACTAGTCGTGGATTGCGGTCTCCTTCAAAACAACGCGAGAAACAATCTACCTTCCAACAAACCCAGTCTCCTCTATTCAAATGTCCCCCTACCGAAGTCCGACTTCTCATCTGGGAACATTATCTCTGTAGCCGTATGCTGCATATTGTTCGACCGAACCAGCATAAATGGAAACGATCCCGCAAACAGATTGTCCGGATTTTCTGCAGCGAACCTCGCAATTTATGTCCACACAGTCATCACTGTTGGGGACGTCTTGCTCGTCGGCCCGTGGGGAACTGCATTACACCCATGAACTACGGGCCATATTACCACGAGAACTCCGAGTGGAGATTTGAGACGAGAACGGTCGATTTTGTGCCACTTCTATAAAGATGTCGAAGAGTGCGAGTGCTTCCATCTGTGTCCAAACCTGACCAACTAACAGCACGCCTAGATATTCCGAGGCCATTGATATCATTTTGAAAAGAACACTTTCCTCTTTAACCACACAGATACGATTATTGTTTTCGCATACGCTTTACCGCAGCAAATTAGTATGATACGTACTTTGCAGCTCAGTTTTCCGGATCCCGGTGGTCCAAGTTGGAATATATGCTGCCAGGTTCTCGCTACTAAACTGCATGGCCTGAAGACATTGACAATCCATTTATATCCTCACGATTGGCTTATACCCTGCGTCATATTCAACAACCCACGGTCTCCGAGGTCACTCTGATCAAAATGTGGTATCTGGATCCACAATAGGAGAAGTCAATTGAGCTTGCTGATGCACCTTTTCGATTTTAGAAGCGCAACTTCTTGAATACACATAGACTGATTGCTACATAAAGCATAGACTGACAAGCTATCAAATTCTCTTGACTTGATTTGGGCTCCAAACATTTCCTGAATCCTCATCTCCTCCGAGTGACACTTTCTTACGTACATTTTCGTCCACAATTCATTTCACCTTTCCTTCAACTAATCCAAATTCCGAAATCCACTCATACCTTCGCCACTGAATCTCTGTTCTTGAAACTCCATCCAGCCTCGAGGTAGAGAAGGTTGGTCCGAGTCAGTCGTGGGCTTGTAGCTGTACCCATGATAGTCACTCGCACCGTCCGTGTCCATTAGCCCGGTCGGAGGTAGTTGGGTGCTCTGTGTATTCTGGTCAGAGACGGTTATACTGCGTTTATTGTACACGGAAAGACATCTCACCGTTCCATAGGTAGTGCGATGCGATAGGGGTACTGTCTGATATCCAACCGGCCGCAATTCTCTGTCCGGAGCAGGGCGTCCGCGTCCGTTTCCCACTGATACTGGAATACCTGTTGATCTCTGGTGGAAGGTCTCATCGTTCGTGTTGACCTGGATCTGTTGCAAATCGGGTCCACCAGTTTCGCTGCGACATCTGGGAGCCTTCATAGGGCGCGTCGATTGCTCTCCGGAATTGCATTTTCTTCTCTTTGTGTGAGCGTGGGGTGGTTGGACCTTGCTTCGTTGGGATGGCCTGTTGCCTTGCATACCGGTTCCTCCAGCGAAGCCTGCACTGAATACCTTTCCCTCCTCATCACCCGACGGTCTCCGGGTGGCGCCAAGTTCAATCGCGTCAGTTGCCGTAGCTCTTGCGATGTCAGGATCGACTGGAGGTTGCATCGAAGGACCCATCACACGGGCCTCCAAGTCTTGTTTAATCCAGTTCCTTGTCAGTTTGTGCTCCATTTCGAGTATTTCCTCCGGAACGTCTAGTGTTCCATCCTGAAAGGCATCCATCAACCTCATCTTGGCTGTAGCTTTGCTTTTCGTCGGTGGTAGTCCAAAGTGGAGAAGCTGTGCTTCGTACCAGTGGTCCTCGTGGTCGGCTCCGTTTCTTCTGTCGCCTAATGGTGTACTGAAAATGTCATCCAGCTCGAAATATGTTGCGCGTGGGTGGACATGACCGCATGAGGAAGTGACGTAGAAAGTGTCCCCGTCGAAAGACCACTGGCCGTGATGGACAGGCGGCATGGTGTTTTGTGCGGTAGAGGAATGAGGGAGAGTAGTTGGATCGAAGGTAAAATAAAGATGGAGTCTATGGTCTGCTTAGATACACTCCTCAGCAATCATGAACAGAGATTTACATGTCTATCTGAAGATATCAGATTGTCGATGCCGTACACACTTGCCATTTTAGCAAGTACGCGCGATGCGGCACCTATGACCGTAAAGAGCAACTCTACTTGATTTGATAGTTCCACCAGACGCTTTTCTCATTTAATTTCTCAATATTACTTCGTTCTTCTTTTCCTGTAAATGTTGATCACTAGCGCCGCTCACCTCTTTGTGGTGTTTGAAGATGAAGGTCCAGGTGCACATAGTCCATCTACTTAGAGTCGAAGAAGCCACCAACAGCATTTTTAGATATACGAATTCATTTAGTTCGCTATATGGATTATATACTCTGATTCAATATGGTCGGAAAGATTGCGTCTTGTCGGTTCAATGCCAGTAATTCCGCCACCTATCACAGGTCCATCCTGCTCGGCCAGTTTGTTCAGCATGGCCAGGACTATATTTTCTGTTGAAAATCCCAGTGAATTCTTAGTATTAACCTGCCATTTTGGGGCTTCAACGCTAGAAGCTCTATCACAGTGTATACTTGAAGCCTGGCAAGTCTTCAATAACCTTGCTCCCTCTTGACGCCTGCCTATTGCATACAGCAAAGAAGACAGTAAGAGCTCCAACTACCACAATGGAGAGGAGGTTCACACTTGGATTCAATTGTCAGCTCTGGACTTTCACCTTTGATAAATAGAGAGGAGTACTTACGCTATACTCGCATACACGCCGGGAAGATATCTTGGTGCATCCTTGGTGCGGAACACCATCGAGCCCGCCACACCACCAATCCCACCCAAAGTAATAATACTAGCACTGCAAAAGGCACGCTTCCAGTGGCCACAGATATTGTTTGCCTGGTACGTAAGCGTAGCAGGGATATTCGCATTAGATCCTGAGGCCACGAGAAAGACCCCGAAATACTGCACGCCAGGGACGGTGACCCAGCCGAGAATTGACAGTCCGACGATAGCTTGTATATTGTTCCAGACAATAAATGGGGCACGCATACGATATCTGTCACCAAGCCATCCTTGGATAAACATGAATAATCCGGCAAAGAAATACGGCGGTGTCGTGAGGACTTGAGCGACTGCGGTGCTAAAGTGTAGCTCGGAAGTCATGATAATGGGAAGGAAGAAGCTAATTGAGTAGGAGACCATTGTCGCACAGCTTTTAACACGTCTGTAAGCGTTTGAGTCCGATGAGATATAGGATTTCCTTACAATAATAGGAGGGCGAATGCCCATACCTTCAGCTCCAGGGCTGGCCTAACGAACTGTCTCAGGTCAAAAGGGACTTCTTGCGAGGCATCCTGACGATCTCGGGAAATTTGCGCAACGATAAAAGCAGTTTCTTCCCTGTTGAGAAATCTCCATGACAGGCGATTCTCGTCTGGAAAATTGATCAGCAGCGCAAATCCTATGCATGCTACCACGCACGTAAGCAGCCCCTCCATGATGAAGATCCATCTCCACGGTGCGAAGCCTGCTAGACCACCCATGTGGATGAACCCGAATGCAAGGAGTCCCGAAAAAGCGGCTCCGGTTACACTGATGAGATAAAATGCCGAATATCTCTTGTGCATATCATCTATGGGAGGTGAGATATGGTTTTGTCACACGAGGAAGGGCACGAACAGCGCGAGTACCACATTGAAAGTAAGTATACAGCTCCTGGAAAGAGACCTCCTTCAAAGAAACCAAGCAGCATTCTCAGTGCAAGCAAGACCTTCCAGCTGTGCACGAAGCCACAACACTAGATCAATTAGTAGGCGACGAGAGGAGCGAACGGTCTTTGCCTACTATCATAACAATACCCCATGCCAAAGTGATACCGGACAGAAAGATCCGGGGCCCGATTTTGCGAGCCAGCAGAATCAATGGAAACTGGAATAGGACATAGGGAATGAAGAATACGAGAAGGACAATGGCCTGAGAAGAACGTCAGACTGGTGTGAATCTCGTAAATCTCGACTTCATACATAGCGAGAGCCAATCTCCATTTGCAATTCCTCCTCCATACTAATATTGTCAGCATGGAAACAGCTTCAGCTGGAGTAATACAATACCCAGAGATCATAGCATTCCCTAGATTGGTCCTGTCGACAAGGCTCACGCACATCAACAGCCCTAAGGCAGTGATAAGTCGCCGGTCGACCTTGTGGATGATGTGGCGTTGCTCCTTGTAAGAGTAACGGCTTTCTGCCGCTGAACACTCCGTCTCAGTCTTTGACGGAGAGCCATCGTTGTGGTCCATTGACTCTGACAAGGGTTTATCCATGCTTTTCATAGTGAAAATTATTGCGATACCCAATGCCACGTTCTTGCCATGCTATCGACTCCTTTTATCTCTGTCGTGCTTTGACCATTCCCCGCATTCGCCATCAATGGATCGTATCTACTCATCCCGACCGGTTGAGGTTGCCTCGGTCTCTGTCGAGGATCAGCCCTTGTTATACACTTTGTCCTTGGGTAAGTTGCACGCTAAGAAATGGCGCTGCCAATGGCGTGCGTCGCGGTGGATTCCGGCCTTGATAACAGTAACCGCATTAGGCAATCGACTCGTCGCATTACCTAACCATACTTGTAGGCGGCGGCTGGAGTATATGTGATCACGACATGGAACATTTGAACGGGCTATATGTGTTGCTATGGCTCCGACCGAGGCTGTTCGGCAAATTTGGACGTCGAAAAAGACATAAAAGGATGATCTGGAGTCGTACCTTTCGGGGACCATTCAGCTCACTCACAATGTCTGCTCCTCAATCCCTCCCTTCTTTCTCCGACACTAACGATTTCGATAATGCTTCTCGAGGTTTAGTTGGTGCCCTGAAACCATGCGTTATCAAGAACTCAGCAGGTCGCGTTGTCTGGAATAACGACGATTATGACTTCATGCAAAACAGCGAATGCCCTGTAACAGCAGACCCCAAGCTTTGGCGCCAAGGACAGCTCTGTTCAAAGCAAGGACTCTTCAAAGTGACCGAAGGCATTTACCAAGTGCGAGGCTTTGATCTCTCCAACGTGACCTTTGTCGAGGGATCACAAGGCATCGTCGTCATCGACCCCCTCACGTCAGTGGAATGCGCCGCCGCCGCGCTGAAGCTCTATCGCTCTCACTGCGGTGACCGGCAAGTCAAGGCTTTAATTTACTCTCATTCACATGCCGATCATTTCGGTGGTGCACGGGGTATACTTCCCGCCGATTCAGACCCAGCGATCCCGATCATCGCGCCAGCCGGGTTTATGGAGGAGGCCACCAGCGAGAACATCTATCTGGGAGACGCAATGCGCCGGAGGGCCGCATTTATGTATGGAATTCCACTTCCTAGAGCACCTGACGGACAGATCGGCTGTGGCCTTGGGATGGCAGTCTCCACTGGGATCGCATCGCTCATCCCACCGAATGTCACCATCTATGAGACGGGTGAGACCCGGGTTATAGATGGAGTGCGAATTGAGTTCCAGATGGTCCCCGGGACGGAAGCGCCTGCAGAAATGAATTTCTTCTTCCCGGATCATAACGCTCTGCTCATCGCAGAGTGCGCCACACACTGCCTGCACAATATTATCACCCTGCGTGGTGCCCTAGTGCGCGATGCCAAGGCCTGGGCTGGGTACCTGGATGAGACGCTTGTTTTGTACGGAGATAGGTCAGATGTTCTGCTTGCCAGTCACCATTGGCCGACGTGGGGAAAGAAACAGCTAAAGACGTTCATCGAGGAACAACGTGATCTGTATGCCTATCTTCATGATCAGACCATTCGCATGATGAACCTTGGGATGACAGGCACAGAAATTGCCGAGAAGATTACTCTTCCTCCTTCTCTTGAATCTGCATGGCATGGTCGCGGATATTATGGCTCAATCAGCCATAATGTCAAGGGCATTTACCAGCGCTACATGGGCTGGTTCGATGGCGACCCGGTTCATCTGTGGGAGTATCCCACAGCTGAGCTCGGTCAGCGATATGTCGACTGCATGGGAGGTATTGACAGCACCATTCAAAAAGCTGCGGAGTACGTAGAGGCCAAGGACCTGCGTTTCGCTGCCACATTGCTGGGCCATGCAGTCGCTGCACAGCCAATGCATGGAGCAGCAAGATTCGCACTAGCATCGGGGTTTGAGAAGCTGGGATATGGGTGCGAGAACGCAACATGGCGCAATTTCTATCTCACTGGGGCGATGGACCTGCGCTCAGCACGCACCCCGGGTCCTAAAGCGCAGCCGCCCAATGAGGTTAGTCCGACTCTCTCGACGGAACAGTTGTTGACTCTTTTATCTGTTCGGCTGGATGGTCTGCGAGCTGCGAAGAAGTCTTTCATCATAGATCTGCGTCTTACTGATGAAAAAAAATGGTTGCGCTTGATTCTGAAAAATGGTGTCCTGACAGTCCGCAAGACTACCGAGAATAACGGTTTTTCTGATGATGTTGCTGGCCTCACGATGACTCTCAGAAAAGAGGATTTCGTGGCCATTCTCAATGGAAAGGCTAGTGTCTCTGGGGAGCCAGTCGGTGACGTGGAGATCATGGCTCAGCTGGTGGCCCTGACGAGGCCACCGAAGAAAGCTGCTGGTTCTTTGTAAATAGTTTTGTGTTCCTAACTTTAAGACGAGCCTCATACATGTTACGAGCCCGACTTTAAAGAAAGAGTACTCAATTCAAATACTAAAGATGGGGAAGAAAGGGAGCAACAAGTTCACCGGCGAGGGCAGGTATAGCAACCATCAAAGGCAAACAATGCAAACCACCGACCTCGGGAGCTAAAGGAAGCAAACAAAGAAACGAAGAACGATCTCTAGTATGTGATAGCATGCAGACGGTGACAAGACACATCTAATTGGTTTCTCCGCTCGTTAATCGAGCTTCAAATTGTTGTGCACTTCGCAATATTCGCGCCATAAACTGGGCTTTTCCAATCCCCATACAGTGTCCAATGACTTCCAGGCGCTCGATCGCCCATTCTCGTAATGCCGATCCCAGGGCACTTGCATCTGCCGCCATGTACAGAGGCCACATCGTGATGAAGCCACCAAGATAGTCAGCGGAGGAAGCCAAGTCCACTCCTGCCGCTCGTGAAGGGCCGACTTGTCTTAGAGCATAGGGTACACTTTGTGCAATCTCCATGGCTAAATTGTTAAGAACCTCTGTTGTCGGATGCGAAGGCGAATAATTGTTTTTCGGGATGCGGACGTGGATCAATCGGTTGAGCAGGATCCGGCTTGTCCTATAAAGATTCCAAATATTGCACGCCCAAGCGTCCGGATAAATATGATATGTATCGTCGAAGAAGAGACCTTCTGTGTCACCTCGGTTAGAGTGTCGACCTGGTGGGCGTAGGGCTGTGCGGTAGGCCCAGCGAGGTGGGAGATTCTGCCGCCACTGTAATAGAAGCTGGTCGACACATGAAGCCTCTGTAGTAGCTTGAATATCATCGTGTGTCTCCGTGTAAATTATGACTTCGATTACTCGGGCAACCAGGTCTACCAGTTCGTCGGCTTTGGCGTCGCTGACCGATCGCAGGGACATGGCCTGCGAGGACCATTGAACCAATGCAGCTGGTAGGGGGGTATGCCAGTAGAGGCAGCTAGTGATCTAATTCTATCCCATCAGAATGGCCCGCCGCAGGCGTCATGTTGAACTTACAATTTGCACGCGCAAATGGGTAAATAAGCGCATTCCAACGGTGTTTCGGATCTGCTCGGCTCCCCGCATCTCAACCAAAGTCATGGCTCCCCGAGTATGATGAAGCCATGAGTCGAGGGAGTGTCTAACCCTGCATGTCAAAACCTGCAGTCATGAGCATCGAGCCATATGAAGGGGCGGGGAGGAAGCATACTTCAAACATACTAAGAAGCAACACCGCCGCAAGGGTAGCATCGCTTGTTGGGTCGCTCAATGCCGTACCAGTGAGGCTTAGAGCTTCTGTATACTCTTTGCTGGCAATAGCCATCAACCCGGCAGATTTTCGAATATTCGATAAACTCGCCAGGCCCACCGCCGCGAGGGCCATAGAAACAGCAGGACTAATAGCTGCCAGATCGGCCATCTGCGAGACACTGGGATGGATAGGGATATCATAGAGGTCATTTAAAACATAGTAACGAAAGAAAAAGCGAACAGATTCATCGCGGATGGATCCCGACAGGGGCGACGGAACTGAAAGGGGCGACAGATGGTTCAACTTCGCTGGTCTGGAATTGGTCACTGGCCCCAATTGATTCTCTGCATGGACTCGGGCCCGAACAGCCAGGCTCTCATTGCGAAACTGCAGCTGCTGTGGATCGCGGTATCCAGGACAGGAGAACCGGGCCCGTTTACACTGGGAGCACGTGGGCCGTGCGGTGTCACACTGCGAGGCCTGTGTCAGCGGAATATTGGACAATAGAAGACTGCCTCGCTTACTCGGATTCGGCGCGCGCGGCAATTCCCGCATCCTTTACTGGACCGGGGTCTGTAGGACATGGTGCAGATGATGGAGCGAAGCACAGTAGTTAGTTAACGCTGAGGAGGCAAGAGAGAGCAGGAAGGTTAATGTTGTGTGGGGTGATGGACGGGCCCCACCGAGTACGTCAAAAGGGAATACACTGTGGGGTTCCAAAAGTGTTCGCAGTCCTACCAACATTGAATGTAATAGGCATTCTATCTGTCTGCTGCACTCTTGCTACTCGCCAGTTGCTTCCCCCTCGCTGACGTATCTGTCCTTTTACCAATGCTTTCCCATGCCTCCGTAATCATAACTCGTGGAAAAAAGATTTCCAAAAAATAATTAGTTCCCTTATTGGATCTCTTGTTTTCTGTGAAAGTTGATTACTAGCGCCGTTCACTTCTTTGTCTACTACCAGGCATGTAAGATCGAGTTAGACATAGTTCATTTGCTTAGAGTTGAAGCAGCCACCAATAGCAAGTCCTGATAGAAGTATTCGTTTATATGGCTATGTTGGTTGTACACTCTGATTCAATATGATCGGAAAGTCTGTGTTTTGTTGGTACAATGCTAGTCATTCCACCACCTAGGATTAGTTTGTTTAGCTCACTAGAGCTATGTTTTTCTTAGGTCGTTGTCAAGCTTGCCCATTTTTTTCACTGTAGGACGTTTCCCTTAATTTTATCTAGAGCTTGTTTAGCTGCGCCTTGGTTTTGCGTGCTTCTTATGGCTTCGTATCCTCCGTCGCGTTCGTTTTTCTTACTAATGTTTGCCTTAGTGACCTGCACGGGATTCTAGGCGTCGAAGCCATATTATGTTCTTCTTATGGCCCTTATAGAATTTATTGGTCGAGCTTAAGCTACTACAAGTAAAAATCCCTTTCTTCTTAGACATATAACTAGTATACAAGGCGCTCTCTATAAGAGAGAAATAACCGTATCCATCTATAGATATCTCTAGATTCTATCTAGCTTGTCTAAGAGAACTAATTAGTACCTATATGTGGTCAACCTCACTTTAGGTTACTACGAAGTCATCTTTGGTGTTAGCATCAATCAATGCAGCCCGCTCCAGATAACGCAATAGTAATAATATTGAAGATTACAACGGAGACCCTCCAGGGCTACACCCTCCAGATATGCTCAGCGAAATCTCTCAACTCTACGTCGTGTATCACGAAGTCTCTCTCCCAGGGGTGAGGAAGACGGCTTACAACCTTGTCGAAGGGTAGATCCAGCTGTATAGTAGTCGTGGTCATGCCATTCGTATGGGACTCTCCGGTAACGTATGTCCTATCATCCGTTCGAGATAATTTGAGAACTACGGTACGACGCGCTGAAAGAGGGGATGACCGGGTAAGGACGCCAGCTCGGGGAACAAGTTCACATCGGCACAAATTGATCTCGGGACTTTTACGTTTATGCTGATCGTAACGACTATCATAGATGAGGAGTAAGTAAGCTATACCGTAGGCTCTAATAGCCCTACTTCCATTACAAAACTCAGCATATTTGTCGAAGTAGGAGCCCAGCTGCAGTCAGCCTCCTTTTTCCAATTTCTGACCGTGGCTATTGCCGACCCGAAGGCAACACCTTACGATCGACCATATCATACAGAGTGATAAGCAAATAATCTTATTGCGAGTTCGTGTGCAGTCTTCAGCATGACTTTCGCGACCAAGAGTCCCGTTCCTATATTGAAAGAGAATCGACTATACTTGCTTGCTCACGATCGATCATTAGTCAGTCTGGAAAATTGCGCCGGGGGGACAGATGTGAAGATGAGGTACTGATCCCGAATTTGGTCTTTCTCAAGCGCTGTCGACGGCGTTCCAAGGACTTGTGTAAGCTCTGACTTCTGATGAATGGGTGCTGCTCTACTCCATTCGCCAGTTGCGCAAAAGGATCTTCAGATTCGGATTCAACTTGCCAGAGCTCAGAAGGTGAAGACTGAGACGCGTTCTTCGTGGATTGAAGGAATTCTATGATCGGCGAGAAGAAAGAGAAGCTTATGCGAGATATTCGGGGGCCCCCCCTTGTCTTGGTGCCAGCGCTCCACCAAGCGATATCTTTGGAGAGTATTTATTTCCCCGGATTGTTCGAGATAGATTAGATAGATTTCCAGGGTGTCCTTGTCACCCCTCAGGAGGTTGCCTGCTCTTATTATTGCTCGAAGAATGCCCATTTCAGCTTTTGTGGTACCCGATGATGTACGTATGTATGGAAAGATCTCTGATTTTTCAATGTGTCAGGAGAACTTGAGGATGAAAAAGCTCTAAGGATAAGATTCATCCATAGTAATATCAGGTCACACCTCCGACACCTAAAAGGTTGATAATTCAATCTTATATCATCCTTGGAAGGTTAATTAGATCCAATCCTAATTTTACCAGTGCATGCCATAAGATTTACTATGTAAAGCAATGGTACAAGAGATATGAAAGGGAAATTTAGGCAAATTCTTCCTATTTTATTCGCATATTTCCTGCATCATTACAGAAGTGAACAAAACTTCAGAGTTCCCTCTAAGGGAGACCATGTCCTGAAAATTCTATTATATTCTCTTAGTTATAGATGCGGCGTTGTCGTAATAACTTCCAAGGTTATATCTATGTATCTCTAATACGGTCCTTGACTCAAAAATACCAAACCCGATGTTGCTTCAATTTTAGGTCGACAGGCTTCTGAAAAGCTTCTACGTACAGATAGTCTATTTTCCATGATGTTGCTCGCCCAGGTGCTTCTTGGTCTGTGAGTTAGTACTTAGTTAACTAAGCCCGTTACATTTAAGCCTAGCCGTTCAGACCAAACTTTAATGTTCATCCCCCACCTCCCTCAACTCCCACCTTTCTACTCCATCCCTTCTTCTTGCTTCTCTTTGTACCATAAATCATGAATCCATCTTCTCCAACATGCTCTCCACAGAGTTCCCCCAATCCCGATCTAAGCACACTCAGCCATCGTCCAAGCCCGCGTCAGCAGAGCTCAAACACACCACCTAACAGCTCCGCAAACCCCCCGATTCCAGATGACGACCATGGCGCGGATCTTCCGATGAATATGTCAGCATCGGTCATGCTGACCAATTTACCCCTTGATGCGCACCAGGCACTCGCCGACGTGGAGAGTATTGATTCGGGGAAAGGTAGGACCCCTCTTCGCCGATTGGGTCGATCAGACGACCGCAATGTCAACAAATGGTCGGAATCAACTAAAGATGATTAAGTTACTGTTCGCTTCCAACCTCTCCCGTCAGCCCCAATTTTGAAAAACCGGGTGTTCAAGGTTAGCGCTTCGCAGAAATTCGAAACAGTTGTCAAGTTCCTGCGCAAGAAGCTGGACTGTAAAGAGACCGATTCTGTCTTTTGTTATGTTAACAGTGTGTTTGCGCCCGGGCTAGACGAAGGCATGGGCGGATTATGGAGGGTGAGTTTCAACTCTGCTGTACTACCATACCTGCATTATTCGACCAGTTGAAAGCTAACTTCATAATAGTGTTTCAAGACGGACGACCAATTGATTGTCGCGTATTCAATGACCCCAGCATTTGGCTGAGTAGGCTATGAACAACCAGCGTGAACTGCTGAATAATGCTATGTACAAATGATGATGATGATGATGATGATGATGCTCAATACACAACATGCAAGAAATGGCCGTGAAAAAAAGAGATGGCAACCAGATGCATCATGACTCACGGAAGACCTCGTCCACCGTTTTCTGAAACCGAGCAAGCTCATCCTTCGCAATGGGATACGTGTATTCCTCCGAAGGGAACGCCCGACTCTTGACCTCATCGCGATACAGCGAAATGCCACGGGCAGCCTCATCCCAGACATCCGCATATTGCTTAACAAACTTCGGCATGAACCGACCAGGCCAGAAATTCCCAGTCATGTCAACCTGCACCAGAACCTGCCCGGAGCAGCCATTCCCAGCGCCAATACCGATAGTCGGGATCCGCAGCTTCTGCGTGACGATCGATGCAACCTCCGCCGGCATCGCCTCAAGCACAAGCATGAACGCGCCAGCCTCCTGCATCGCAAGTGCATCGCGCAGCAGCTTCATCGCGCTGACAGCCGTCTTGCCCTGCACGCGGAAACCGCCGAGGGCATTCTGTCGCTGTGGCGTGAGACCGACATGGCCTACTACCGGCACGCCGGCCTGTGTGATGCGCTTGATTGTGGGCGCCAGTTCCTGGCCACCTTCGAGCTTGACGCCGTGTACGCGGCCTTCTTTGATCAGGCGCAGAGATGACTCAATGGCTTGCTCCGCACACACTTCATATGACCCCATCGGTAGATCTCCAATCTGGGATTGGAGAATGGTTGTTAGTCAGCGGCACTGTGGCAACAGCCCCAGGGATCCCGGCAACTCACAATGAAGGCGGCTTTCGTTGCACGCGCTACACTCCGACAATGAAGAATCATCTCTTCCATAACGACCTCCGTCGTGTTTTCCAGTCCAAGAGCTACCATGCCTAAACTATCCCCTACCAAGACCATATCCATCCCCGACGCATCGGCCACATGAGCACTGGGGAAGTCATGCGCCGTGAGCATCGTGATTGGCTCCCCCTTTTTGTGCATGTTCTGGAGCGTCTGTATAGTTACCTTCTTCCGCGCATTTCCATTCTCACCGGTTGGCGCGGAGTAGGAGCTATGTCGGGTTTGGGAGAGGGAGGGTGGCGTCGGTACGTGGGAGGACAGGGCAGGACAGCGGGCGGTGCCAAGGGTACGTGCGGCTTGCGTTCTGGTAGCGGGGATCACCCCCGTCCTGAACAGCGACGAAGAAGTGAGCGCTGTGCGCCGGAGCGCAGAGCCTGGCGCGGCCATTGTGGTATGATTGGGAAAGTCGGAGTGGCGCAATGCACCCGCACCCGGTGACGCACGATATTAAGATACAGAGACTGCCCGTGGCCAGTAAGTATATATCTCAATACTTCTCAGTACACAATGCTATATGCACTAGTTGTATCCCATGCGAGCTGTAGAAGTGGTGATTACAAAGGAATGGCGATGACCTCAGCGGCGAACTGGAGCTTTTGAGGTACGCGAGCCAAAAAAACGAAGAGGTCGAAAGGTCATATATGAGGAATATGTCTGGAGCTGCGGCTTTGGTATGTTCAGATATCCTTCTGTCCGGATTGACGTGCTGGTTTATGCGGCGTAGATGGGAGCATCAAAAATTTGAAGTTGAAGATCTTCGTTACTGCCGTTGATTGTGCGGGCCGAGTGCCGAGATGTTTGCGGGGCTACATATAGGCACGTGGACTCAGGAACGATGCAATTCCTCAGAGTTGATGTTAATTGATATATGTGACTATGATAATTGTTTCTTTATCAAAAGAATGTCAAAAGAATGCTCAATATCAGAAGCCTTTATTATGTTGACATCAACTCTGCAAGCTTGAGGATGTATTTTCCTTCACTCTCACCGCCTGGCACTAGTGTCACCGCCTGCAGTTTACGTGCCGCCGAGGTGATTACCGCATTAGGCTAAGTGAGGGGGCTTGTACTTTCTCCTTCTACAGGCTGATGTTTCTTTAGTCAAGAATGCATTTGATAGCAGACAATTCAATTAGCACAATACAAACTGCATACAGATCATTGAGTCGGATAAATGCTTATTCAAGTAAGTAATGTCACGAGAAAGGAAAAGTCTCAACAGAGACTCAGCCGCCTGCGCTGGGTAACAAGCCACAGCCATCGGGAAACAAGAGACCACCGGTAAAAAGACACAAGGAAAAGCTGACGATAGAAAATATGGCCCCGCAGGACCAAAAAGGGGGATAACGATGTGTTAGAACGGAGTGCAATGCAAGGCTAGGAACCCTTGAGTCCATGCTAAATCGTCCATTTATACCTTCGGTATATCGCAACCGGCCACAATTAAGACCGTAAAGCACAAGCTGTTTGCATGTTGGGCAATCAGTGTCGACGACCAGTTGTTCTTGGAGCAACATGAGAAATGCAAGTATCCAAAATTGCCGTCGGCGGTTGATGGAGGTCGGTTCACGATTTCGAAGGTGATGCGATGCTGGTTTAAAATCGGATATTCAATACATTCGAAGAAAGCGAAAATGCTGTAAAGGAGTGGACGACCTCCATCGAGGTCAAGGCAAGCAGATCAGCTCGTCGGAGAGGGACCGGTTACTGACTGGTACTGCTGATGCATGATAAAACAAAATGAAGACTGAAAAAAAAAAAAAAAAAAAAA